GACGTTTCTTCGACCTGCCGCTGAAGTTTGTATACTAGTAGAATACAACTAGTGGTACGAGTAGTACTGGCGGTGCTAGTATTAGTAGTGCTATTTTGCAGGTAGCACTAGTAGTACTCGTAGCAATTGCTAGCAGTACTAGTGGTACTGGTACTACTAGCAATACTAGAAGTTCTAGTGGTGCCAGTAGTAGTTCTAATAGTATTACTCCAGCGGTAGGAGTAGTAGTCAGCTTGCAACATCCCGAACCCAGCCTCCCCCTCCCTCTGCGCCCAAAGCTGTCCACTCCCAGCCCCGAAACTGACCACCCCGCACTCCGAAACTGACCCCTGTGGTCCAGACCGAAACTAGAACCCCGAAATTCTTTCTCTGTCTCTCTCTCTCGCAGTCTCACTCTCCCTCTGGTCGCTTTTTGCTTTCAGGTACTGCTGGGGCCTCTCGGTCCTGATGGCCGCCTCCCTGCGCGCGCTGGCTGCGAAGCCCAGGAAGCCCAGCGAGGCGCGCAGTTGCACAGCTGGGGGGGAGGAGGCCGGAGGCCCTTTTTGTGTCGCTCCTCCTCTTGAGAGGCGCTGCGAGTTCTGAAGGCTGAGCGGTGCCAGTCATGATGCGTGTGCCACCGGGGGCATTTGCTTGTACAGTTGCCTCGGGAAGCGCTTTAGATATGCGAGGGATGATTTCCACAACGTGACCGAGCCACTTTTGAAGATGATTTTGAATCAAGCTGGCCTGCAGATCTCATGCGCCAAGATGTTGGGCATTTCCTTGCATACCGACTTTACAGATTAACCTGCTAGAGTCAGGGTCAGCATTGTCAAATAGCAGGATGTGGCCAGATCTGTGAACATGGTCACCCTTGTTTTGGGTACTGCAGTGGGTGAGCCAACTGCGCAAGACCAAAGCTAGTGCCTTGCCCAAGAGCAGCCCACATTTCGGCTCCGAAAGCAGGAGGTCATTAAATTGCTGCCACCCAGGTACTGCAACCTTGGTTTGCAGAGCAAGACGAATGTACAGAAAGCAAGCTGGCTTGCGACTCTGATTCTGTGTAGGTTGTGCAGTGAACACGCATTGCATGCCTGCGAGCGTCGAGGGGGACTTCTCCGAAGACAAGAATCTAAGATTCAACACATCAAAGCCTACCGGTACTCAGGCGGCAAGTTGTTGCAACTGTTGTGGATCTTGGGCCGCGAGTGAGCAGACAGCGGGAGTGGAGACCAGTGGTGTTTCGACATACTTGACAGCGTAGGGCTTGTTGAAGGCTGAGATGGGAGAGGCCTTGTTGTGTGCCCAGGGCCTGGCTAGGCTGTGGTCGAGCTGGGACAGAGTCCTGGAGGGAAGCTTCGTGGTAACTGTTGCCATTTTCAGGAAGTAATAAGTCGCGACTTTTGATTGCTTACTTGTGCTTTTTATGGTCCGTTTCAGCAGGAGGGATACAAAACCTTTTGCTTACCCATGAGACCAAACCCCAAATGCTGTGAAATACAGCTTTTCCGGTTTGTGAGCACTTGGGGTTCTCCAGAAGCTTCAAGTTATGCGGGAGTTGGGGGTTTACGGTTTAGGGACTTAGGGTTTCGGATTTTGGGGTTTGTAGGTTTAGGGTTTAGCGTGCACCGCTTTGTCAAAACTGGCCCTAACGGAATCCGAGGATGAAGATGTTTGGGGCTTAGGGTTTAGGTTATTCACTCTAGGATTTAAGGGCTCAGGGTTCAGCATTTAGGGTTTATGGGGGAGATATGAGTTCAGGGTTTAGGGTTTTAGGCTTTAGGGGTCTTGGGTTTAGGGGTTTGTGGGTTTAGGGTTTAGGGTGCACGCTTAGTTGTCTCGCCCACGGCACGAAAAATACGACTAAGCAACACAAAAAGTTACGACTAAGCAAAACAAAGTTACAACTAACCCAACCACCTCCTGGAGCCTTCGGTATCTCCGGATTCGGGGCCTAAGAATCTCGAGAGTGCAAGCCTTCGAGCTTGCCTGGTTATGCGAGTGGTTGACCACGTCCTCTCGAGTGTGCAGGTGTGGAGTGTGAGTGACGTTGCGCCGAGACTTTTGACTGCAGCGCAGCTCTGTGACAAAGAAGCTAGACAGAGACAAAGACCAGCATTAGTCATTAGCCGAGCACCATCGCTTGAATGAGTCTGGCTTCTTTTGCATCTCGCTGCAGCCAGCGATTTGGCAACGTCTAGACAAAGCATTGCTGTGCAGCTGCCGTGCGCACACAAATTCTGCCTCCTGGTTTCTGAAGCCGGCTGGCAGTACAGAGAAAGGTGGTCGTCCATGTCACGTGCAGGTACTGCGTGATGTCTTCACCAAAGGTGATGCCTGGTTTCGCACGGGCGACCTTCTCTCGAAGGACAAGCATAGTGCCTTCGCATGAAGGGAGGCGCTCGTGATGTGCAGGATTCCAGCGGACTGTGGTATTTCGTGGACAGAATTGGTGACACCTTCAGGCTGGCGGCTCATTGTCTCCAGCAGATTGAGGGGTATTTCTCAGAGCGATGCAGCAGTTCAGGCACCGAGTCAGTAGAGGCCACAGATACCCGCCCCGCACTCTGCAGGTGGAAGGGCGAGCTGCTTGGCATGCACAGCATTGCACAGCATTGCACAGCGACAGCGCACAGCCGCGGCACAGCCCTGGAGCTGCCCGATCTCAGCTCGTCCCTTGCCTCAGGAATGTGAGCACCATGGAGGTGTCGCAGGTCCTGTCCAGCTTCCCCGGCGTCGAGGAAGCCAACGTCTACGGGGTGCAGGCGCGGCTGTCGGGTGCAGTGCCAGGAGTGGGCTCCGTGCCCAGAAACCCCACGCCTTGGTACAGCATAGGACGTAGGATAGAGTAGGATCGTGCGCGGTGTTTAAGACTTGTTCCTCACGAATCTTTTGGAGCCACAAGGTGGAGGTGTCGGTACGCGATCTCGTGAGTAGGTGAGGTGATTGTGGCATGCAGCCGAGTGGTGGGCATCTGCCATGGGCGTCGGCTTGCGTTGTCTTGGGCCACCCTTCGGGATGTGGCAGCGGTGCCATGCATCGCACGGTTTGCTGGTCCCAGGGAAGCTTCGTGGCTTTCCTTACGGAGGAAGAGTGCCATGTGGTGGATGCGCAGGCAGCTATTGGGAAGACCTCGGAGCCCTCCCTTGTAAAGAAATACACCCTGCCAGAGCCTGCGATGAGAGCGAAGAGGCCAAGGGTTCAAGAGCCCAGTCAGTTGGAGAGTATTGTTGAACACCGGAAGGAGGCATTCGCAGCGGCAGCATGGTCGCCTTGGGGTGTCAAAGGTCCCTTGTTGGCGATCCTTGATTCCGTCGGGAGGCTCTTTGTCACTGCTCCCTGCGACGGTGACATGGGCAGCACCAAGGAGGCTGATCTCAAAGACTCAGCATTGGTTGACCTGAGCGAAGACTTTGAACGGGCAACAAAGACGGAGTCCCGGGCCTCCATTCTTGACTTGTGCTTCTGGCCTTCTCCAATATGTCTCCATGGCAAGAAGCACGTTGCTGCACTGCTCTGTGCTTGCAGAGGCTCGTCCGTGGTGATTTGGAAGCTGGGTCCTAAGTTCGATGGCCCACAGCGGCTGAGAAGGGTCGTACTAGAGCCATCAGTGGAGATCACGGCTGTTGCCGCATCTTCATTCTGGCAATCCTTGGATGGAAGCTTGATCAGTCTGTTGGCCATGGCCACAAGCACAGGTCAGGTCCACGTACGCCGGATCTCTGTTGATTCGGACCGCTCAGAACTTGCAAGTGCTCCTCTCTGCGAAACTCCCATTTTTGATGTGGGCCTTGGTAGTATTGGGCAACTTGCTGTTCTGACCGATATCTCCGATGAAATCGAGGTATTCCTTGCAGTGGGGCGCGGGGTTCATGTCTCTGCTGCGGTTCTACGTTGCAGCAAGAAGGGAGACTTGAAACAAGTGTTGGCTTACACAGCCAGCGTGCCGTGCCACGCAGTTCCAGTCGTTTCGGTCTTGTGCGCTGCAGGCGGAATTCTTAGCCAGACCGACGCAAGACATCGAAATGCAAACATACTCTCCATGGACTCTTCGGGGCAGGGCGTTCTCTGGCAACTTCCTTGCAACAGTGGAACTGGAACTTTGGACCCTGGCAGGCCCTGCAGCCTCGTCCCTGGGAGCTGGCAGAGTTGGCTCACGACGGTGGAGCAGAAGGCTTTACGACTGGACGCACGCATGGTGCGCGCCGCAGCACGTGAGCGCGAAGCGCGTCGGGGAAGCTCCCTTTTCTGTGGGCTTGCTATGTCACCTTCTCATTGCCTGCTGGCGATGCAGACCGTGACTGTATCCGAACGGACAACCCAGCAACGCATGGCAAGCTCCTTGCTGATTACTCCAGTGGGGAGCCCGTTGCATTCCTTCAACGCCATTCTACAAAGTCTCGTCCAGGCTGTGCATCAGAGCCAGGTCTCATTCTTTTATTGCAGTCTATGGGATGTCGCGGAGTCATGGCAGATACAGACGCAAAGGAAAATCACAGATTTCCCCTTTAAGTCCCTCAAGGATCTGAGGATGTCCCAGAATGAGAGTTGCCTGGAACGGTGTATCGAGTGGATCTGGGACTTGGCTGAGATTTTCACGCGGGTTGCAGAGGCAGAAGCAGATGCTGCTGAGAAGGTGACATTGGGTTCTCTGGGTTTTGGGAGCTCCGCCTCGAAGCTGCAAGTGGTGCAAGCGGCGCTCAGAGACTTTGTGCCCAAGAGCCTGGCGGAGCGGAGGCGCCTCCTAAAGAGCCCGAGCGACGAGTCGCTGCAGTCGCTGCAGTCGCTGCAGGTGCTGTGCCTCCGGAACGCAGATCGCCTCCTGCAGCTTTGCAGAGACGTGAACCTGGTCTCTGTGAAGCGGCTGCAGAACGCCTGCCTGGAATTCGTGCGGTTCGTCACCAGTGCACCACGTGGCCGGAGCGAGAAAGAGGCCCCCACAGCCTCCTGGAAAGGCTGCTGGCTGCCGTCAGCCGTGACGCGAGATTACTGGAAATGCAGACTGGCCAAGGCTCGTCAGACGCCTTTGGGTTCGGCCGAGCAGCTACTGGCATTTCTCTCCAATCCAGACCAGGCCGAGGCCCCTCAACACAAGTGCAGGATGTGCCAGCAAGCCGCTCTGATCGACCCTTCACTTGTGGAAGTTTCTTGCGGTGCGCATTCTGTGCCGCTGTGTCAAGAAAATCTACGTCCATTGCTGGCGGAGCCTCACATCCTCTGTGGCTTCTGCAGCCGATACACGGAACTGACCACCACATCTGGACGTTTGCGTGTTTGCGGATGGTGCGCCGCCCCGACGTAGCCAAAGAGTGTTCCGCCCCGTGCTCACAAGGGCAGGTTCGGGTTTAAGGTCTTGGTCTGGAGTTTCGCAGTCTTGGCTCTTGGTCCGCCCTGTTTGCCAAATTGGGACAATCGCAGGGCACGTGTCAGGGTTGTAGAAAACCAGATTGAAAACCAGGCCTGGGGGGAGGTTTTGACATGCCACGTGGATGCGATTGAGCTTACGGTCAAGGGGGGTTCATGCAATGCTACACAATGTGCCGAATCCTGAACCCTGAAATTCGCCCTCCTGCGCATTGGCTTCAGGGATTGCAGAAAGGAGGTCTAGTCGAGGGTCGGCGATGTTTTGCGATGTTTTGAGGGAATGCGGCTGGGAATGCCAGGTTCCGGGCGAGTCGGATGGACGTGCCTGCATGGCTGCCCTGAACTGCCCAGAGGAGCCGCAGGGATCACGACGACTCGAGCTTGCACAGCGGTTTGTTTCGAGGAGCTCCAGAGCAGGGAGAAGCTGGATGCTGTGCAGGCCCTCTGCGAGAAGGCGCCAGCTGGCGCCAGCTGCTCCTGGGTGCCACGTCCGTCCTTGAGTGCTGAGTGCATTCGGGTGCAGGAGCTGCCCGGCTACGCGCGGCCGCTTTTCCTGCGCTTCCTGCCGTCCATGGAAGTCACCGGCACCTTCAAGCACCAGAAGGCCGAGAAAGACGCCCTTGCGACGCGCGCGAGCCTATGGGTCGTTTCGCAAGGTCCACTTGAGAAACGAGGGCATCGACCTAACGAAGGCATGGCAGATAGGGCAGTTGCTGCGAAGTTGGCGTCTCCACATGCCTTTGACGTAGGTCCAAGACCCGATCTACGTCTTGCACCCCGCCTCGAAGCGCTACGAGCGCCTGGACGCCGCCATGCTCCAGGAGCTCCAGCACCGAGCAAAGCTGCAACCTGGCGCGCATCGCATGTGCATCGCATCGCATCGCATCGCATCGCATCGCGCAGAGCCTGGTCCTGTCTTCTCTCGTGCGAGGTAATGAGGGGTGCTGAAAGCGCTGAAGAAGAGGCGCGCTTCGTTCCGTTCTTCCCTTCTTGTCCTCGTTCTAGGCCTGTAGCCCTCCTTCGCTTTTTTCTCTGCCAGGACCAGGCTTTCCTCGATCACTTTTGCTGGTCATCCCTGCTTGGGGGATCGCGGTCATTCGAGAAAGGGGCGTGTTCAGAGAACTCCGCGGACCACGACAAGACATTGAAGAGATCAGAAGAGTGCCGCAGTGCAACCGGCAGAATTTCGCTTCGCTAATGTTACTAATGAGTGTATTGCGATGTTTGAGACCCGCATGCACAGGGCCACTGTGTTAGGGAAGTGGTAGGCAGGGCTGGGCGCGTGGATTTCAGGCGCCCTCAATCAGCACCCGCCGCAACGTGCCTTGAAGGGGCATGCTAGCAGTACCTGATGCAGCATGTTTGCCAGACCGACGAAGTAGACAGAAAGTGTGAACATGGTGCGTGGCTACTTTGGTTTTTCGGCTCTAGCAGAGGGGGCTTCCCGCCGTCCCCTCCGACCCGAATGCAGCGATGCTGGCGACCCAGGGGACTACACATGTCGCCATATAGCACTGCAGGACATGTGGCCAGAAGTGCTTCCGTCAGGCCTGGGCTGGGCGACCCCGGCCTTCAGGCGACGCAGAGAGTGAGAGAGCTACCAGTAGCGAGAAAGCTCCCTTCTTTAACCCGACCGCCGCAAGCATGGAAGAACACCCTGGGATTAGGGTCGTGATTGCTGAAACTCCGCATGATGGCCCTGCCGTGTCGCGCAGGGCAGCAACATCTCACAGAGCGCAGGCCGGAGTCCAGAGGAAATTTGAACTGAGCGTAAGTAGGAGAGCCGAAGGCAGAACAAGGGGTGGTTATGGCTACCGGTACGAAAGGTTTGTCGACATCGCTGATTGCTTTCAAAAGCGTGCCGCAAGTTCTCAGAGCAGGCAAGCAGAGATTGTACGGCGCGTTGGTGGACGACCAACTGAGCCACGATGCCGAAGCAGCAAGGTGGGCTGGAGTCTGCGGCATGGTGCAGACAGCAGATAAGAACCGTGAGCCACGTAGCCTGTGACTGTGTGGGACGGGGTTTTCCGCCTTGTTACAACAGGCTGGCAACGTCCAAGCGTCGACGGCGCGTAAATGGCTGGGACCCGAGTCATCTCGATACTAAAGTGTGCGTTTCAGACATTGGAGGGAAGCTCACTCATGCTCACGTCTTGTTGGTCGAAGTGACGGGATCATGGACCGGGGACAGCTGATTCGGTGAACCAACGAGGGAAATCACTTGCAAGACAACGTCTTATGCGTCTCATCTCGCCAGCGATCTCTTTTCTGCATATTTTCAGCTCGGGTCTGGGACGAGCTAAATCCGGACAAAGCGAACCCCCAAACTCAGCTGCTAAACCTGACCCAGTCTGAATTACGTGAACATCTGATTCTGAGATGATGTCCCGTTTTGCCCTGTTTGGTCTGAGGATGTTTCATGCCCTCTCTGTGTCGCCGAGGTGCGCCGCTCCTGCTGGCACTGCTGCTGCCGCAGCTGCCTCATTTATCACTTGCCAAAGATGCATGATGTTTCACCCCGGAAGCACGAGCCAATAAGAGCAATTTTCCAGAAGCCGCTGACAGCATGGCCCCAAGGTGGGCGGTTTTCGTGCTCTGCTTTGCGATGGCACGAGCCTCGAGAAAGCTGGGGCGTGATGTACCGTGGAAGACCTCCTGGCCAGTTGTCCTTAAGGCCGGTTTCATATTCCACTACGCCATGCCGCTGACTGCCACGTCAGCTTCCCAAATGTTTCTTTCTGACGAGACATTCTTGAGTCACTTGAGCATCGCTCGCATCGGTGTGCTCAAGGCTCGCAGAACTCCTCGTGGTGGCAGCGTCCCTTCGCTCAGGAGAAAGAGCACAATGAGCGAGCGCACCTTCGGACTTCGGGTTTTCGTTGCGACGACCGAGGTGTCTGCAGCGGGTCTTCTGGGCCTGGCGCTTGTGGAAGCGAGGCCGAAAGGGCCGAAAGGGCCGAAGCCTGAATCCGGTAGTGAGACTCGGAGGTCCTCGGCATCCGAAGTGAGTTCAGGGGTGTGCTGGGTTTGCTTCCTGTGCCCTGCAGGTGCAGCAGAAGGGCGGCTTGGCATGCAAATTCGCACAACACATCCATTGCCTGCCCCCGTCGCACTTGCTGTTCGGTGCATTTTTGCTTCGGCAAAAGACGGCATGGTGAAGCCGGGAAGAGGTTCTACCCTGCGTACATGGCAGTTGCCACGCTTCTCGCGGCGGTGGTCGGTTGGGTGCCAGCCACGGAGCAGTTTTTTGAGGGCTCAGATTCCCCATGTCAATGAGAAGCCAACTTCCATATTGGTCCGTTTGATTTCAGGAGTGTTGTTTGTCAAAGTTTCGCATTGCAGTGCTTGCTCTCGGCTCAAAAGGGGCTGAGCCTCCCTACTCCCAGTCATGGGGAAGAAGGGCAAGTGGCTCGGCTTTATTTCAAGTTCAGCCGAGAAAGGCCCGAAGGGCTGAAGGGAGGGTCACCTTGAGTCGAGTTCCGTGTGCTCCGCCCCACGCCCCTTGAGGAAGAAGAAGGCGGCAGCGCCAGAGCCGGTAGAGGAAATCCCGGCCGACCTCAAGGAGCGACCGTGTGTGGTTCTACTGGTAGGCTCATAGACCCCTTCCCGCCAGGAGCTGACGATCCCGAACCTCCGGGATCGAATCGATGCCTTCCAGTATCGTCTCAGCAAGGCGCATTTCTGTCTGCAAGACATGGGTCTTCGATGATGCGGCCTCTCTGCTCTGAGGCGGCAAAGGACAGAAATTACATGCAGCTGGAGAAAGAGCCCTGTCCGGAACAAGTTGTACTCGTCTCTGCAAGACAGTTTCATTGCATGTTTTTATCGCTTGGAGTATTGAAAGCAGTTGCGAGCCTGCTTCCTGCGACAGCCTGGATTGTTACTTCGTGGTGGCTTCGCACTTTCCGCCATCCAAGGACATGGTGAACAGGTCAGCAGGGCAGACGAGCAACGCACACTAGACATGTGCATTGCATCTGGTTGGGACATGCGCGGTGGTCTAGTGCTTCCAATCGCCACTCGCATGATTGGAGGTTCTACGAGATCACCAAGTCAGAGGTCAAACAGGTGGAGGCCGAACTGTTAAACATGGACCGCATCTGGTCTGCAAGCTTGCACAACTTGTGTTCTGAGTTGGGCTGTGTTTGGACTCGCACTGCTCACTGCTGAAGTGCCGAAGTGACGTGAGGAAAGATGGAAATCTTAGAACGTGATTTCCGCGTCCACATCAAAGTCCACGAACAAAAGGTGCAGAGCCTTGCTGTAGAGCTCGTGGACAAGAACAGACTTGCTGTGCCAGAATGTCAAGAGGTGCAAAACCTGGAGTATGAACACAAGGAGGCCAAGAGGCAGGTGGGCGAGAATGGTGACATGGACCTCCAGAAAGCGTGCCACGACGGCAATCGGAATGAGAAAACTGCGACAGGGACCCCGGGTGTGGGTCGGGGGCTCCCGAAACCCCGAGCCAAGGCGTGACCTGCACTCGGAGCAGCTCCTCAACATGAACAAGGTGCAGAGCCTGCAGAGCCGTGCCGCTAGGGGCGGAAGAGGGGAAGAGAAACTTTCTTATCACGCCAATCACACTGCATGCCGGGGTTAGCTTCTTGGTTTTGGGCTCTAGGGTTTGAAAGGGTTTAAGGGTTCTCCAGCTGTGACTTCGTCGACGGCTTGACACCCTGTCGCAGGTTTGGCCCCATCATTTGAGTTGGTTGGGGTCGATGAAGTGTGAGCCATACGAAAAGCCATATCCTTCAGGAGAAGCTGGAGCTGAAACGGGACATCCGGGAAACCCAGCTGGAGAACGAGGACGAGGCGACCGTTTCAACCGTCTTGCACTGTCTTGCCGCACAGAATGCAGAGAGGTAATAGGTCTGTTCTTTGTGACATTGGTGCGGCTGCCGTTCGCGCCTTTTTTGTGTGGTGGGTCCCTTGGGCCGCCTGACTTCCGCTGGTCGCTCCTGATGATTGGGGCACCTCAGCATGCGTGCAGCCTTGTTCGAGCGCCAGCGGTGGAGGCTGTCGGTGCTGTCCGAGATTCAGAGACCCAACAACAACCTTGAAGCGTCCCGAACGAGCAACTGGCGCATGCCGGATGCCGGATGTTCTCGTTGGACACTTCTGCCTAAGCTGTCCGTCAGCGGTTTGTGGCATGCCCAGAGGGCTAAGGACCTTTGGGGGGGGGGAGGCTCAACATTTTCGGGTTTGGGGTCGGCATCGAGTCCCGGAGCATCCCAGAGCGACAGTTTTGTTCGAAGCCGTCAAATGTCAGCGGGTGTTCTACATCTGTCAGCGTCTGGGTTCGCCATCCGTTCGGTTCCGTTGAAGACTTACTTAAAGCGTGCGAAGGTCTCTGTGTCCGTGTGTGTGTGTTGTCAAGCGTGGCGCATGTGAGGTGAAGATGATGCTGCAGGCCGGTGCTTTTGTTGCCTCCCATTGCCATAGTCTACCAGTGCTACTAGGCCACTAGGCTACCAGGTTGAAGTTTCTTCGCTGGGCCAGGGCTTCGCGAAGAGACTTCAGAATCTTCGCGACACCTTCGAGCAGAACCATCTTTCCTTGCAGGCTCGGGGGAGTACATGCAGCAATACACGCAGTTGCGCACGGCTGCATTTTTGCAACGAAGCTGTGCCGCATGTTGCGCTTCCTCGATTCACCACATAAGGAAAAGGGACGCCTTTTCTGTGTCGCCGAGACCTCCTGAGGCTCAGTACGAGGAGCAGGTGGAGCAGCTGAAGATTGACCTCGAGCTCCGCCGCAAGGTCTGGATCTTTTCGGGCCTTTCCCGTGCTGTGGAGCTGGGAATGCAGCGAAAGGTGGAGATCCACGAGATCGAGGAGCGCAAGAATCAGTCCGGACGCCAGGATCCAAAAAAGCCCGAGTTGGCTCACAGTTTAGTATGCCCCGAGGCACATCAACGAGCTTCTCTTCAATCACCAGGAGGCTTTCGATGAGATCAAGGTGCCCGACAAACCAACCTGGGGGGTTTGCGAGCATCAGCTGCATGGAGGCCTACTACAACGACATCACCCATGACAACCTGCAGCTGATAAAGTCCTTGAAGGCACGGGCCGGGGGGCGGAAGCTTTCTCTCCCTTTCTGCCAAGTGCAGCACCCAGGACGAGATTTTCGAGATGAAAGAAAAGGACCCGTTCTCGGATTGTGTGCGGATGCCTCGGAAAGCAGAAAAGCGCTCGGCCGGGCCAGGAGAAGACCAACAAGAAAAAGATGGACTTGCTCCGGCAGGCCGCCACATGAAGTGACGACACCGCTTGGCAACTTGGTGCTCCGCTCAATTCTTAGTTCTGAGAATCGAATTTGCCAGGAAAACCGGGACCTGACGCGGCCCCTGGAGGCGCAGGGAGCTTCGTTTACGCACGTTGTCGTCCAGTGTAGCGAGTCTACATGCCGCAATATGTGTTTGTCGGCGCTCGCAGGAGAAGCTGAAGCAACAGCGAGCCTTGGAGGAGGAGCTCAAGACCTACACCAAGGACCCCCGCCCACAGTCCGGACCCAGTCTACAGTCGAGATGTTTGCTCTACCCGACCAGGACAAAATGGCCCTAAAGAATTTGAAGGCGCACTTCAAGAAGCTCGAGGCCTCCTGTGAGCCGGAGGCAGCTTTTGGAAGCAGCTCACTGGGCTCTGCGAGGAGCAAATCACGGAGGCCAAGCAGGAGTACAGGACTTGCGAGGCCCGGGCGAGAGAGGAGAGAGATGGAGGCAGAGCGCAGAGCAGGGATTTCGAGATCGTCCTGCAGCTTCCTCGCTGAGGACAAGTACCGGAAGATGGAGAAGGAGCGAGATGCCATCGGCCCAGAACCTGCCCAGCTCCCTGGAGCACGCTGACTCTGACTCTCGCGCAGCTTTAAGGACTTGTACAAGCGCTTCAAGAAGGCAGTGCAAGAAATCCAGCGCAAGGCGGGTCCCCGAAAGACCGAACCGTCGCGAGATTTCCGTCATGTAACTCAACGAGACCGAGACCCCTCGAGGCAGAACTCGGGAAGAATGTCGTCCTGGAGAAGAAGCTCGAAACACTCGCGCAGCAGTTCGATGAGAATCTCGGCATTGTGCTTGCTGGAAGCTCCCATACCTGCAAGTGCAGAACTTGTCTCGCAACAGCCGCACCGTCGGTGCAAGGAAGCAAGCGCAGCTCACCGAAGTCCTGACCAATGCACGATTGGATCCAACCATTGTTGCCAACGTCACGAAGAAGTGGCGACTTGCGTGCTTCCTTCACCGATCGCTATGTGATGCTTGTTCGTCGGCCGTTCTGCCAGGTTGGAGCAAGTCCTCGGTGCCAAGAACCGGCAGATCAAGGACCTCCAGTACCAGGTCTGAGCACAGTGTCAGCTTCTCCGTGCTTGCTCGGCATTCGACTTGTCATGACTTGTCCCAGGTTCACCAATCCACAAAACAATACAACGACACCATCCGCGTCTACGCACCTCGGCTGAGAAAATCTATAGCATAGTCTTCAGGCCATAGGGTCTCAGCCCCGAAGTGTCTTCTCTTCTGATCCAAGGCCTGGGTTTCTCTTTGATGTTTTTCAGGTTTTTTGTTGGTAGCCCATTCTGAACTCTGAACTTCGCTTCTTCGCTTCTTGGAGAGACCCACTCGCTGCATCAGGAGAGCAAGCTCCAGGGGCTGGGTGTCGATCCCGAGGAAATCGGCTTCGAGGCAGAGAGCGGCTCGAGAGTAACAGCTGAGAGGCTTGGGCCTTGAAAACCCCACGACCAGGCGATTCAGACGGCGACATCCCTGATGCCAGCGCGCCTGGTGACTCGAGCCTGCGACTTAAACTTAAACTTAAGCCGGTTTTAAATCAGACACAAATACTTACTTAGGGGCTTTTCCAACTGCTACAACCAACCTTACCTTCATCTTCCTGGAGGCGAATAGACGAGAAGAGCTGAAGAGAAAATCAAGTGGTTTTGGAATCCCATAACGAAAGAATGCGGCGAATGAAGGCATGATTCGATTACACTAGGCAGTGCTTCATTCAACGTGCTGATTTTTTGTATTTGTTTTGTAGTTTTTGGCTTGCAAGGAAATGAGGAATGAGACAATGAAGCGCTAATTGATTTCACAGACCGAAGTTTTCATTATCAAGCTTAAGCATTCATTATCTTCTTGTGCTCGGTTCTAAAAGTCTTGTGCGCCAGTAGTATTCACATACAAAGGAGCGGAGCAAATGCGTGATTTTGGTTTACATGCAGCACGACATGAGAAGAAGAAGAAGAGGTGCTTCCTGGATGTGCGGTGGGGTCTTGCGATGTCTTTTGCACAACTACATAAAGAGCTTATAGAGTGCTCGGCTTTTCACTAACAGTAGCACCACGGTTCTCTTTCTGCGGTCTGTTTCGTGTGCTTAATGCGTGAGTTCTCTCTACTTGAACGTTATGTAGCCAAGTCAAAGCACGCTTCAATTTGGAAGCACCGGCACATTACACTCACCAGCCTGATTTTCGAATCCATGTCCCGGGCTCCAGGTATTTCTTTTCCTCATTCAGCCACCTGCTTCCATCTCACCGTGCATGCTTGCCGATACGAGCCCCATTTTTGACCGACCCCTGCTTCCGTGCTTCGTGTCCAATTCCAGATTTAAATTCCCCGACTCACGTCGAGCACAGAGACGTGCTCCTCGAAGGGATCAGGCATCCAACGGACGCAGCTACTTCTAGATGCCAAAGACGCAAATCCCGCTGCAGTTTGAAGTGCTGCTCAGGTTCTTGTGTTGTGCCGCCTTCATTCCACAGGGATAGGACGACACTACTCCACTTGTGACCGAAATTGGCGGCTTTCCAAAGCCATGGCAGCACCAACGACGGTCCCATCCGCGCTGTGTTTGCATGTCGACACGACGTGGCCGCACAGAGCTGAAGCAGTACACTTCAGAGATGATGATTCTCAGGTACGTCGATCCTTCGAATATCATAGTAGCGAGTTCGTGCGAGTGGAAATCGAGTCTGAGGGCAGCAGTAAACTCACCACACCGAAGCTCAGCATGCGACCCAGACCCTGAAAGCAGTCCGAAACCGGCTCTGTGAGGGCAGGCAAGTGCAAATAGGATGCATCCTGCATGTGCCGAGACTCCCAGGTGGGATGAGCTGCACGCGAGATCTCCAGAGCCTGTGGCCGAATCAAGCATGTGCCGTGAACAAGAGCCGAACCCTGAGTGCACCAGTATAGGATGGGACCACAGAACTGTGTAGAACCTCACAATATGTCTGGCTCAGTATTTCTGGCTTTTGCCTAGCAGAGACAGAGGCCGGCCATACGTGTCACTAGAGCAAACTCCGCTCTTTCACCCGATGTCTCACCGTTCCGGGATGCGTTCTTTGAAGGGCGTGTTCTTCAGTCTCACAGGAATTTGCGTGCAAACCACCCGAATCAACCCCCTAATTTCTCTAAGCCCAGGAATCCCCGCAGCCACTGTAGTTCAAGTTCGACCTTGTTTGAAGTCGCAGGTGTGAGGGCTGGTCGCCATCATGTACAGGACCTCGAGTCTCGAGCACTACGGTCAGTCTCCGCATGCTCTGCGTGCGTTGCGCATCGTGCTTGGCACTTGCATCCCGAAAAGTAAGGCTTCTCTGAGTCAGCCAATCCCGGCGCGGAAAACTCTGAGTAAGATGTTAGAGACTGCCTCAGTCCCTCCCTGCCTGAACCTCTGAGGGCATGGGAGATTTCACTTTCTACAGCTTCATGGAGCCGAGCTACTCCGCCATGCAGATGGTACCCTACACAGAGGCGAATCCTCGGAGTTGTCGGAGTAGACGATTCGTCCCGAGCCGCCAGGTGGATCCTTCGTCGACCCAGCTGCAAGATGGGCAGGCGCAGCCTCTGGGCTTCGGCCTCCGGTGGGCGGTGGCTTTCCCGGTCCCTGTTTCCCGGAGGTAGTGCCGACCAGCGGTGGCCGCTTTGGGGATGCCGGCAAGGCGAGCGATGTTGCAAGACGCCCCGCTGCCTCGACTGAACAAGCCGCTCTCTGTCAGGTGTATTTCCAGCACGACACGATACTTGATGTAAACAGGCTGGGATCCTTGGATTCAACTGAGATCCGAATGACGTGCCCGGTGTCGAGGTCCTTCAGCTTCAAGCTGGCGGATGTGCAAGCCCCCCAGGTAGTCGAGGCAGAATTCTTATCGCAAGGTCCGATCGAATGCAGATCGCCATCAGTAGAGAATGGCAAACATGCCTGCACATGCCTTCTTCACCACTCTGCCCAAAGCATCGGAGACCGTGCCGCCTTCGCACGACAGGGCCTTGCACACGGCGACGGCGCAATGGCATTTAAAGCTGAGAGGGTGTCCGCAAATGCACTGGGTGGGTTGGGGTTGGGGCAAAATTGGGGTGGGGGGCCGTTTTGGAAGAAATACGTGCCTCCTCACCCACATCATTCTGGCTCACACGGGTCAGGTGACCCGGGATCACGGAGGTGTCGCGGTCTTGCTTACACCACAACCGTGGCCGCAACCGTGGCGGCTCATCAGCGTGCATCCAACTGCTGCTTGAGATTTCGTCTCCCAGCCCGGGTGCACCTCGAAAAGCCGAATGAAAGCTCCCCAATGTCCAAGTCGCAGGTATTGCGTGGCACCGATCAAGAACAGGCGTTGTCGTGGCGGCCTCAGGGCTCTCAGGGCTCTCAGGGCTCTCAAGCCTCGTTCCCTTAAAGCCCCAAAACAAAAGCTCAGGCGAGCCGTGCGGCCAGGATTTCTGGGCCGTCGGGCCACTGGGACTGCGCTGGGACTGCAGGGTGACTACGGAGCCCGCGAGGGGGACGTCGTGAGTATTTGCAGCGAGTGCTCGCCGCTGGCAGCTGAGGAAGAACTGCTGTGCTGAGGACGCGCTCCTACGCTAGCAACAGTATTTCATGGCAGAATCAAGAGATCACGAGTACTGAGAAATGGTCTTGTCTCGGGTCAGCAGGATGGCAGCAACTTCACCTGCGGCGATGCAGGGAGTCGCCGGGCCAAAAGCCAGGGCCGCATCACGAAACAGACCTGAAAAGGTTGAACGTTTCTCCCGGTGTCAGTGACCCAGGTGGCCTGAGGCTCATGGAGAACACCGACGTTCCATTCTACAGGTGCTCTGGTTGCGGTTGAGTGTGAACCACTTTCTCTTGGCTTGTCTCTGCAAAGTGCGCTGGGCAGAGGCTCGCCGTGCTGCAGGCTGCGAGCAAGTTCAAGGTCGGGTCCCGAGAAACTGAAACGCTTCTTTTTTCTCCGACTTCCGCCCAATCCCCAATCTATCTCGACCACGTTTCATCCGCAGGTGCTCTGCTGCTGGATGTGTAGAACAACCGCTGTTGTGTCAGATGTAAAGCCGATCCGACAGACTCCTCGGAGACGAAGTTTCAAGTCGCAGGGCCGTAGCAGCGAATTTGTTTGTGATTGCACTTCTTGAATTGTTAGCTCCTCACACCTTTGCTTCGGCAGCTCTACATCACCTATGCTCGTCCGCATCTAGATAGACTCTCCAGCAGCGGACAGGCTTAACTGACTAACCCGACAAGCAATTCACGAATGGGAAAGGCTCATTACCATGGGCGAGGCTGGGGCATGGGGTGTCTCAGCCAGCGTTGACTCAGATGATCAGCCAGCACCCGGTCTTCTTCCACTGGCTAGAGGACACGCTTCCATTGCGACCCACTGAAAGGGATCGATCCCTTACCCGGTATTCTTCACATGGCGCCTTGTGCAGACAGCTGTTCTTGCATGCTTGTTAGCTAAGCTAAGCCTTCGCACGCACGTCTCTGTGAATGCCTCCTGCTTCCAGGACCCTGTAGCAGAACTGCACAGCTGGCAGCGGCAAGGATTCAGGCACTTTCGTCGCCGAATTTCGTTGTACGCTAGCTGATGGCTGCTTCTGCTTCTGCGAGGCGCTTTGCGTTGGCGATGTTGGGCGCCTTCCTTGTGAGTGCCGCCACGCTGCTCGCCCTCAAACGACTGTGGAGTTGTGACTTTCAGCTATTCATTGCTTCAAAATTCTCCAGGGAGTCCGCTTCATGCAGTAGGTGACTGCTGAAGGCATGGCTGGACGTAAGAGACACATGGCTGTGCTGGCTTTCCTTCAAGCCGACCGCAGTTCACGTGTGCAGAGTTCTGTGGCAGTTCAGGCAGTAGACAGCGCTTCCGGGTGCTGCTGGGTTCTGCTTTAGGTGTTCCTGCCAGGTTGTTCTTCGTCTTGCGCAGCATGGACCTTGCAATCAGCTGAAGGCTTGTGACTAGCGCGGGGCTTGAAAACAGCTGCACGCCGGCAAGGTGGGTGTCGACACGAGATGCTTGTGCAGCGCTCTGTAAAGTCTTGCTCTGATTTGGCATCGAGAAGACACCATGCTTTGATGGACATGCTTTGGTTGACAATACTAGGGCTTTGAGAGGGCATGAGAAGACGTGAACTAACTGTGGTTTGCAACAAAGGGTATGTTCTGGTGTGGGACGGCCATCACGGTGCTGCTGCTCGTTGTGCTTGCAGGCAAAATGGGGACCATTTTAGTTCATGTCATGGTTGTGCAAAACAACTGACGAGCCAACAAAAAGAAAGCAACGCGGCTGACATCTCACGCTAGGGCAGCCAGGGTCAACATCAGCACTCCAACCATTCATACGCAAACATAAGATCCAGCTTGTCGTTTTGAAGTCTGCCTCCTAGCGGCATGGCCGAGGACGCCGGCAGCTTTAGTTATGTCGCTCTTGAGTTCACTGTGGATGACACCAGCCTGGGATTGCGATCGACTTCGCATTTGCGCGAAGTGTTGCGGCCAGGATAAGCACAAGTTGTTTGTTGGCAGCTTACCGCGCACGCCTCAGGTTGCTGTGTTGATTTTTGTTGTGTGAAGCGGCAGCTTGCAGCCAGCAAGCACGTCGTTCTTTGGAAGGTTCATTCAGCTGATTATTCTAGTGAGCGGTTCAGGCCAGACATCACGGATGATGAGATCAAGACCGCCTTCGGGACGTATGGCAGTGGGCTCGGGGCATCCAGACAGCGGCTACAGGGGGAGAAGTCGAAGCTAGAGATACTGTGTCGGCTTTTGGAAGGGTCGACAATCGACAGTCAGGGGTTGTGCCATGCACCATGTGCAGGCAACGTCCTGGAACACCACATCATGCGAGGTAAGTCCACTTCCGGGCAGGCCTCGCTGGGATGAGCACTGGCCATAAGTCCTCAGCTGCTTTCTGCGCCAGGCCTGCGCGTTCGTGGTGTACGACAGGTCGGCGCTCGGCACAGAATGCCCCAAAAGCCATTCAATGTGCATGTGAAGGGTTTTCAGCACTGGGGTTTGGAACGGAGCACCCTTGACAACCTTTGAATATCCTTCGTATCCGGTTCCCGGTCTGACTGCGCAGTAAACCGTCTGGCGACAGCGCCATCAGCGGCATGGACAACGCGCTCACTTTGAGAGAGGCGCGGGTGCCTGGACACCAAGTCAGCTCCCTCGCAGAGATGCTCAGAGCAGATGCTTTTGTCCTGCTTATCGTGGCAGGGAGGGAACCCAATCCGGGTGTCCTGGGCGAAGAATCAGCGAGGTGGCGGCGGCTTCTCCGGAGGTGGAGGAGGACCCTCAAGTGTACTTGCTTTGGCATGGAAGCTCTTCAGCCATGCCACGTCATCTTGCTTGATGCAGCTTAATTTCAATGTCTGAATTGCTTCGGCAAGATTGCAGGCTGTGGTGGAGGCTTCGGCGGTAGCTGCGGAGGCGGTGGGTATGGCGGCTGCGGAGCCTCCTATGGTGGCTTCGGTGGTGGCTGTGGAGGCTGCGGCGGCTTCGGAGGCTGTGGCTGTGGTGGATGCGGTGGCTGCGGTGGCTGTGGCTGTGGCGGCTGCGGCTTTGGAGGATGCGGAGGCTGCGGCGGTTGCGGGGGTTGCGGTGGCTGCGGCCCTGGGGGCTGTGGCTGCGGCGGCTGCGGCTGTGGCGGCTGGGGCAGCAGCCTTGGCAAGTTGTGTTTCAGGACTGGCGACATTTTCCATCCGCATCACACGAACTTCTGAGAATGAGTGCTGAAGATCGCAATCCGCCCTCCTCGCGGGTCCAGATTACTGCACTTTCTTACCTTTCTTACCATGGGTAAGAGTGCAATGAGACTGGAGTGTATTGTGCAGTGCTTGAAGGGCAAGCATTATAAATGCTGTCGAGGTTGGGAAGAGGGATGTGTATATAGGCGCATTTAGGCACGATGATTGCTCCGCGTTGCGATTATTTGATTGTCTGTGTGAGGTGGCGGCTGCGGTTGCGGCGGTGGCTGTGGCAAAGGAGGCCAGTGGCAAGGAGGTGGTGGCCAGTGGCAAGGGGGCGACGGCACGCACCTTAGACGCTGTACATCTATCGCTTCTGTAGCCCAGCAGGGGCGATTCAGTTTCTGAGTGTGCTGTGAGCATGAGCAAGGTGCCGTGGCCAAAGCGAAGCTTTTCGTCGGGTGCTGCGATCCTGCTTGAAGTTGTTTTGAGGTTGAAGGGTGGTCACGTGGATAACGAGCCCGTCACCCCACTCTGCCCCTACAATCTGTCGTAGACTTCGGGGTCCCAGGCTTCGGGAAGACCGTGGGTATTCGAACATTTTCAGGGTATGGCAATGTCAAGCACCAGGGATGATGGTGACAAAGTTGAGCCAACCTTGAAATCAAGAAATCGCAAGTCTTCGAGGGCCGCCCAGAGGGTTGGCGCATCTTCAGTGCCTCACAACAGGTCCTGTTCGGAAGGATGTGGAGCGGACGAGTCGCGAGGAAATGCTAGGGTTGATGATGACTCTGTACTTCTATTCAGAGGCTGAGATCAAGGCGACATATGGCACAGAATCTTGATGCACCTAGCTGACTTAGCTCGCTTCTTGCTTCGAACACCTGGCGAGTCAGTCTTCCCTCCGCGTTAGCACTTGACAGAGTAAGCAGACCGATACGCTTTAGACTCCAGGACCTAGAAGTGTCGGTTGCATTCAGTTGCCAGGAATCTCCCGCCGGACATCACACCTGAGGCCGCGACTTGTGAATGTGCTGTGCATGAAGTCGCGTCTGCTTGCCCCCATCGTCGATCGTTGCGCGGACATGCGCGGACCTGTAGGTTCTGACACAAGTCTTTGGGACTTATGGCAATGTCCGGGCCTCAATCGCAGCATGATGGAGTATGTATGCATATAAGGATATCCAAGCATCCCTTCCTCCCTCCCTCCCTCCCTCCCTCCCTCCCTCCCTCCATCCCTCCATCCCTCCATCCCTCCATCCCTCCATCCATGCATCCAACCATGCATGCATACGTATTTACCAAGGTGAAGACACGCACCACTGCACATTGCCATGCATGCATACATGCATCGCATCGCATCACATCGCATTCCATTGCCCCGCATACAAATGCAAGTTATGCACGAGCATATGCCCATGTCCGTGTCCACATGCACACGCACATCCACATCTATACGTGCGTAAAAATACATATATATACATATATATATATATATATATAACACACATACATACATGTACGTGCTGGTGTGTATATACGTATGTACAAACAGTATGTCTGCCTGCATACATGTGCACATCCGCATCTGTTTGCTGCTTTCACATGCGAAGTACGCTTGTCCCATCTGTGTGTACTGGTCTTCAGAGCCCGTTCAGCCAACGAATGTCGGCTCCGAGGTCGTCAACGTCCACGTCATGGCCGGCAAGTCCAAGAGCGGTCAGAGCTGTGCATTTGTCGAGTGCGCCGGCGGATGGCCGTGTGTGCAGCCACGAATGGTCCGGGCAAGTGCTTGGGGGTCTAGCAGCTAGCAGTGTGCACCGGCGGACACAGGTACTCCAACACCACAGAAGCAGAAACTGCCGTTCGACCCTCAGACTGGCCATCGCCAAAGTTCAACAGTCTCCCGGCAGCGGGATTCGTGACTTTCGGCCTGGTGCTGTGCCCTTAGACGAAGGGGACTGGGGGTCCTTGCCTTGGGCGCTCTCAGGTTTGCTTTGCTAAGTTCTTAGGTGCATGTTGCCTCGGCTCCCACAAATGATTGTAATGCCGACTGGTCAATGAGCTTGCAGGTTCTGACGCTTCACGAGAAGTATGAGATTCGCCCAGGCGTGGTGCTGATGATGCACAGGTTTGTGAAAGGGAAGGTCTGTCTGTTTGCGCCAAAATCGTCGCAGGAGATGGGCACATCCTCGTGAAATTTGCGCAGTCTGGCAGTGCTCGCCCGGGCCCGCTGGGAGCCCAGCCAGTGCCCTTTTGCTTTGCTTCCACGGGCATGGCACAGCTCGGCTGAGGTATTAGTGACTTCATGACGGATGGCAAGGGTCTGAGCGGTCTACGGAGCTCCCAAGCGCTCATCTCAAGCTCACTTGCAGAGGTCGACGGGAACCTGGCTGAGGGGCACCTGATGCTCCGAGCCTGATGCCCTCGTCGAGTGGAGAGCTGCGGCTTCTGAAAAACGCCATTTCCCTTGTGAGGGTTCGGCCTGGAACATGCTCGGTTTAGGGTTGAGATGGGTTTGGGTTTGGGTGGGTTTGGGTTTAGGACGTTTAGGAGTTTCCCAAGGCGTCTCCTGATCCCGACTCGGCCCCCCGATGTGCCGTGCACAGCCCCGGCCGACTCCCCCGCCTTCGTCGTTCTGGAAACCCCTTGATGGTCAGTTCGAAAAGGTCTTTACACATGATTTTTCTCCAGCGGTGCATGTGGGGCAAGGTAGAATGTCAGGGCAGGAGAGTTCTTCCCGCAATGTTGGAGTGGTTGCCAGTATTTGAATTGTCGTGCTGACTTATTGTTCAAATCAATACAATTTCGTGGTGAGAACACCAGCCAAGCGCCACGGAAAGCGACTTGACAACTCAGGCAAGGCGCGCCAGCTTGCAAAATCCGAAGCACCCGAACCTGGATGCAAACCCCTCGGAGATGAGTTTAAGGCTGTTGGAAGATAGCCATGAACTTAGTAGAAGGGAACGACCCTTCCTGATGCAAGTGCTGTAGACTGTCGCTTGGTTCCTCGACTAGCGCACAGGCACAGGTTCCTGGCGTAAGAAGCTCGTGATGTGAGACAGCCTTAGACATGTCATGTCTGATGATCCTTGCCGCTTGAGCAATCAAAGCGATTGCTGCCCTTGGGCTCTCAGAGTCGTTTTTTGGGCGGGTGTCTGCGCGACTCCGCCCAGGTGCCTTGTCCTGTTCGTCCATGGCTGGAGCATCTCTGTGCACTGGTTCCTGGGTCTGTGCTTGCATCGCCCTGAGGCTGAAACATGTGGGGGCCCTATGAGCGGTGCACTGAACGCCTGTACAGGTACTGACACTACGTTACCCCATCGTCTTCTCAGCCACCAGCTTTCCCGACCCCGTGGATTGAGATGGTGTCAACTCAGTCTGTCCGTTGCTGAGGGCTGAAGGGGAGGACGGATACGACGAGAAGGACTGGATGCACGAAAGCACGTATCGTTTTCATCAGGTCTTCGTGGTGGCTATTCTTTTTCCACTCTCCTCCCTCCCCTCCCCTCTCCTCCCAACGTGATTGCAAAGCTTCCATACACAGTGGCAATGCTCGTGCGCATTGTAATCTCGTTGTACAAGCGCCCGGTGAGAAGCTTGGAGTTCGCTCTCGTGACCAGTTCGCGCACTTGCCTCAGCAGGATAAGGGGCCACTGGTCTACCAAGAGAGCAAGCTCTTCAATAGCGAGGCGTTTTTTCAAGACGGCATGATGCCATCTTGTCGGTAGGCCTTGTTTGCAGAACCATTCTGCCGTTTGTCTCGTGGCAGACTTTCCTGATCAACGTATACGACCATACGAAGCGGCGGGCAGTCACTTTCGAAACTTATGGCCTGGAGACGCAGGATCAGCGGGAGCTCTCAGCTGCAGGGTTTATTTGGGCAGGTTTCGCGTGTTGTCAGCGTTGCAGAAGTTTTGCTCAGGTTTCACATCCAGTACAGCTACCAGGACTTCGATGGACTCTTTCGCTTCAATGCCAGAAGCTTGTTGAGAGCATGTTGTGAGCGTCACGGTGGATGTCCTTAAGGCCGAGCTGATGAATCCCAATCGGAAAGAAGGCGGCGAGGGGGTGAGAGCAGACTCTGCGGCCTTTGAGCTTTGATCCCCTGCAGTGGCAGTCGCTACTTGAGGCCGATTTCATTGGATTGCGGAGCGGATGGCCATTCTCACGGTGCTTTGGCCGAAAAATAAGCATACACAGAGGCTCAGGGGACACGGATGTGCTTAAATTTGGCGCTTGTAGGGCCCCTTCTTGCCTGGGGTTTGGGTTTCCCTTGGCCGATTGTCCTAAAGACGCAGAGTCAGGTCGGCAAAGACCGGCAGCTGAAGCTGCAGCCGGAGCCGACGCCAGAGGCTCCCGGTTCAAAGCCGCCATTTTTAAGCCCAGTTTTGCACGGACCCGCAGGTGCCGGAGCTTCCCATTTATGAGACGGTGCGAAAGATCCCCACGGGACGCATGGACCGCCAGGGCAACCGCATGATGAAAGTCCGTCGTTAGCAGCCGTGCTTCGCCGAAATGCGGTGATGTCTCGAGGACTTGAAAGAGCGTCAAAGGCTGCGCGAACAAATGGACATGCCCTTGGCCCCAGGCTTTATTGAGCGCCTCTGTGTGTGTATGTGTGCAGAGCCATAAGGGAAATCGCTAAGGCTAGACATCAAGCGCAATGAGAACATTGCGAAGCGAAAGCAGGAGTCCAGACAGAAGTTTCTGCAACATGTTCGGAGCCCGGAAGCTGTGCTTGGAGGGCCTGCGCTGACGGTTTGCATCGGTGTGCCATATCGTAACTTTAGGTCTTCTGGCTGAAGGAGGAGGACAAGAGGCCAGGGACCGAATCTCGCATCCATAATTCGTGGTGAATGGCGCTGGATGCCGACGTCATGTCAGAATCGTGCTGAGGTTGGTATAGAGTCGCGAGCTAGGCTAGATTTTCGTTTCGAGGCTCAAGCGGGAGCATCACGAGAAGCTCGAAGCCGAGCGCACTCGTCGAGCCGGGGGCCTCGTGTGGTCTGTGCGGCAGAGATTTCTCATCTTCCGCGCATTCGTTGTGCTGGACGGCTGGATGCGTTCGGCTTCGGCAGGTCCAGATGAAGGAGGAGCTCGAAAGAAGACAAAAGGAGGTACCTGTTGGACACTACAAACCAGCGCTGGGAGTGGCGCCCGTCCTCGACCGCAGGCGAGCCGCCTCGAGAAGGAGCGACAGCGACAGCGCCGGATTGCCGTCGAGGCCGGGGGCCTGGCAGACGACCTGTTCATGACTAAAGCAAACACCCGGTGGCCCAAAGGCAAAGGAGGAGCGCATCGAAGAGCGCGATGCGGAAGACTACAGGACCTGGGCTCAGCTCTACGCAGACTCACTCGCCTCCACTGCCCGCTTGCCCACTGTCCCAAGGCAGCTCCGTGCCAGATGGAAGATGCGAGACGCCGAACGAGCCAAGGCCGAGACGAAAGGAGCAGAAGCGAGCAGCGGAGGTAGGTCTGTTCGTGATGTCACTTCGACTGAGCCCCTGGGACAGGCGATCGCAGAGGCCATCGGGCGCAAGGCTCTGGTGGAATGGCCTGGACGTTTGGGAGGGTTCGGAGCTGGCCGTGGTGACAGGAGCTTGACCTTGCGGAGCTGCGAAAGAAGCAGGCCGAGGCCTGCGGACGTTCCTGCCGACTGCTTTTTCTGTTGTGATTCGCTGTGTGTTTGCTGCTCGTGAAAGCTGGAGTGTGTTTTGTGGGGCCCTCTGATGACCTTGTTCCGAGGAGAAGAAGGAGGCGGAAGAGATCATGCGAAAGCGTCAGGCGGGATCCTGTCAACACTGAAGGCTTGTCGATCTCATGTAGGCAAACTTCGACGGATCACAGCTACGGCTGTGTTTGTCCATTTGAGAAGGTCTGCAGGCGAGAGACATGAAGCCTAGTTCCAAAAACGCAGGAACGTAGTCTCGTAACCTCCTGAACCAGAAGCCATTCATTCGCGGCTGGGGTCACGAGGCCCGTCCCGACCTCATCATAACGGAACGTGAAAACTGGAAACCAGAAACCAAACCACCTCAGCCACAGTTAGTTCAGTGACAGAGACACCGGACTGTGATGCCGTAGACTGGTGCGATGAGGTTTCTTGTGGGCAAAAGCTAGTAGAGTCAGTCCAGCTCAGATCAGTTGTTACTTGCTAGGGTGCCTGGGACGCCCGAGAGGAGCCGTGGTTTGCTGCGCATAAGGCTGTCCTTGAATCGAAAACGCCGACATGCACAATGACATGCTTGTGTATTATGAACAGTTTGTTTGATTGAGCAACTTGTCTTTCCAGTGCAGTGCGCATTCCTTTTCGCAAGGAGCGAATTCGCCGAAAAAGCCAAGCATGGCTAAAAGCAGTGCACGGCTAAGCGAATCCGCTCTGAATTGCCGACGCTGCCTAGTAGTGATCCAGGATGCTTCAGGTTGTCAACATTTCTCAGGCATATTGCTGTAGTTCAAGCGAATTCTCGCAGATTCCCGATGTCCTATCATCAGGTCCTCGAAGTCAAGGCTGAACGGCTGCGTATGGCCAAGATGATGCAGGACCTCTTGCTCGACTGAATGGGCACTTGTTGCTGTCCTGCGCTGTGTATGCTGTGTCAGGAGCGAAATCAGGAGTACCTGAATCTGCTCCATAGCCTCCGCCAGCCGATCTTCGAGGCCTCATTGGTGCGTCATCCACGTCAGCCCATCCCACACAGAGCACATTCTGGTGCAGGCGCAGCTGAAGAGGATGGAAGAGCGCAAGTTGGCCTTGGGCCAAGTTCACATCGTTGCTTACAGTTCTTGCAGTTCTTGCGGTGCTGGAGGCTGCAGAGGCCATTGCCCAGTCGACCGCCGCGTGCCCCTCCAACAGCCCCTCCTCGGTCTAGCTGTGTCTAGCTGAAAGGGCGCACTCAATTGAAAGCCCTTTGTGGAAGAGTGGTCTTCGACGGTGCACAAGGATCTCTTCTCAGCGTGTGCCGCGTGCTTATCGGTGTCTCCGAGGTACCACGAGAAGCGTGCTGTACCGAAGAAGGTCAAGAAGAAGGGCAAGCCCGATTCTCAGTGGCTGAGCAGCCCGCACCCCGGAGTTGAACCGTTCGGCCTTTTTCGGCTCAGGAATGCGCAGAAGGACGACATGTCCAAGGCTGCATCGGGGCCGCGGCACTGTCTGAGCGGTCGCTGATCCATTCTCGTGCTTGGCTCCAGGAGGGCAACAAGCGGTCTAGCCGCACTGGTGTCCAGGACTGGGACGGTCGCAAGCAAAAGTTTGAGTCTGAAGCTCTGTGACAGGGTGTTGCTCGCGCGCCTAGCCTGCCCTGGTCAACAGGAGTCTGGCAAGTCAGACACGGACAAAGTCCTTGACGCTGTGGAAGCCAAGATGCGCGCCGCGCCCTCAGAGGACAGCGTCATTGCCTTCCGTGCGTTCCTCGGACTCGACTTGCGAACTTGTTATTGACCCCACCTATCATGGTGTGGGCAGCGCAGACTGGCATCAGATAGCGTGTCCAATGATCTCCCGAAGGCTGAAATGGAAGAGCAGCACCGACGAGCAAAGTCCATGCCTTGACAAATCTGAAGCAAATAGCTTCTGAGAAAGCCTCTTTGCGACTCCAATAGCAGCCACAAGGTTCGAGAGACTGCGTGACAAGCGCATCAAAGACCTCCAGGAGGCTCCTTGAACGCGGTTCCTGTGTGGGCTGTTGTTCTTGCTGCTGCCGGTGGTGATGGTGCATAGGGTGTTGTCGTTGTTGTTGTTGGGCAGGCTCGAAAGCAAAAGTGTGCCGCCCACATGGCTGCCGTCGGCTCGGACTGGTCTGATTTTGCATGTAAAGTATTTCAGACGCAAGCTGCCTGCAGAAAGATTCATTGCTGGCTCATGACCATCTTCTGCAGCGGAGTATGTCTGTCAAGCTTGAGCTGGCCATTGACCATAGGTTAGGAGGCCAGATCCATGCAACATCAAAACCCCTCGAACGTAATAACATGCGATAACTCAGTCCAGCTCTGTTTGCCCGAGATGGAGTGTGCCTACCAACACGACTAACATTGTGTAGCAAGCATGTCTGTTGCCGGCATTTCGTAGCTGTCGCATCATGCGAGCATAGTGGGGTGACAGACTGCATGATACCGTTGCCGGCGTCACGTCTTGGCGGTCTTAGCGCGGCCTCCGGCAAGTTGGCATGGAGGCGCTGTCTTGGAAGAAACATGCCCTTTGCGCTTGTTGCACGTGAAGCAACAGCGCTCCTGGAGTGACTAGAGGCAGAGAGAGAGTGTGTGTGCGCACTGTCCCCTTCGGCACATCCAGCCTGGTCTTGGCGGGTCTTCTCGGCGGCTGGAAAAGGGGGATGACAAGTCCCGCCGATGATGAAGTAAGGAGCCCTGGATGACAACGGAACGGGGATCCCCCGCAATGCCAGATGTGGAGTGGAGCGGAACTTCGGCGGAGATCCAATCTAGTCTTGTTTGAGACGACAAGACATAGATAGATGGTGGCAGCAGCAGTGGAGGCTGCGAGCAAGCTGCGACACGAATCACCCAGGCAGCGGTTCGGGAACCACATAGCGTTTATTTAGGGACACGGTTTTCCCACCTTTAGCACCCCTTGTATCGGCAGGGCCCGATCGACCACATTACCACTGTCAGATTGCTGTCAGAGCTCATTCCTCGAGGTGCGCATGAACAACAAGAAAGCTTGGAGTGAGAGAAGACATGAACCAAATGCAAGATACTTCTGTTCAGTGTACACTCCGGCATAGGCCGGGTAGCCTGATGTCGGAGTAAGCGCACCTCACACTAGCTTTAGTTGAACATGCCCGTAAAAGATACAGTAAGCTGGATCGGGGCGTGTTTTGTTCTGTCTGAGTCGGTGTTAGCCTGTGCTGTGCAGCAGATCACCGATTATATTTCTCCAGCTTTCCGTTCTGAGAGGCACCTCAATTGGTGTGCAAGGAGAGGAGGGAGAGGGGAGAGACAGAATCGCAAACTCAGCCCAAGAGCTTGGCGGCTGCCAGGAATAGAACAGGGTCACATGAAAACAACTATCCAAGCCCAAGTGGTAGCTCGGCTTCGTCTAGAAGCCCCCAGAGCTGATACCGATCCTGACGTTGCAGTGTCGGGGCTCTGGGTTGCCTGTTTCGCAGATCTGGTGACTGAAGTGCTTCTACTCGACGGAAAGGGAGGAAGCGGGCGAGGTGGATGAAACGCTTTGATGCATCCCGCACACCGCACCACGCATCGTCGCGCATGCTAACTTGGGACTCGTGCGGAGGTTCTCGGGAGTCTGCTGCATTTGCAGTCAAACTTGCTTGAGGCTTTCGAGCTGGACTCAGAGCCATCAGAACCTTCAGCACGGCGTCGGAGCCTTGTGCTGGACAGCGATGGCTCCTTCCATTCTGGCCAGGCGCGGAACGGGAGCGGGAAGGAGGGTCACCGAACGTATTTATCGTATTTGTTTTTGGGACCTCAGAGGCGGCTTCCGCCGGCAGTGCGCCTGGGGCTGGAAGCAGCTTCAGTGCTTACGCCAACGCGACGAACACCATCCTTGGATCGCCTTTGTTGAAAAGCAGACAGGCTATTTCCCTATGTCAATGTCTCTATTTCTATTTTGTTTTTTTCTTTTCGCTCGCCTGTGTTGCTGGGTGCGGAAGTGGCGGCGCAGGAGCTGGGACTCTGGCTGTGCCGATTGCGATGAGCAGCGCAGGCCCGCGTGGTTTTGGCTGCATGGCATGGCTTGGCTGCATGGGGCCCGAGTCGCGTCGCAGGACTTGTCTCCTACGAGCTGATCACGCTCTTCGTGGTGTTTGTGAACTTCACGACGGTGAACTGGCTGGCCACGGTTTCCGACCATCTGCCGAAAGGGATGCCACGCAACTACGAAGGCATCTCTCGTAAGTACCTTGGAGCGGCTGCGTCCCACGTAATCTCTCTTGTCTTCATTTTCGGCAGTCTTGCCCTGGGCATGTCGTACATGCTCTTCACGGCACAGTCGCTGGCACCCATCTTGGCCGGCTGGATGTCACCATCTCATGAGCTTCCCAGTGAATCAGAGGTGAGTCACCTGTCTCGGATACTTCTTTGGGGCTTGGGTCTTGGGGTGGTGCTACCTCTAAGCCTGTTGCGCGACATTTCGAAGCTGAAGTTCACCTCGACTGCAGCGATCTTTGCCTTGGCCTATGCTGCTGGATTCATCGTCTTCTGCAACTTGGAAGCACTCGCAGCACAGCCCAGAGCCGGCAAAGGCTTCCAGTTTGTCAATGTGCACTCGGACTTCTTTCTCAGCTTGGCCATGACGACTTCCAACTTTTCTTGCCACATCTCGGCGATTCCCATCTACGAGTCCCTAGCTTCTAGAAATGCTGATATAATGAAGAGGGTGGTGGCTTTGGCATTAGGGACTTCCGGGCTCTTCTACCAAGTGGTGGGGCTTACCAGCTACTGTCGCTTCGGCCGATTGGAAGCTGGCCAGGGCAACATTCTGGAAGTGGTGGCCGAGAGTATTAGCCTCCTGGAAACGCCTTTGAGATTCACACTGGAGCCTCAGATGAGTGAGTATACCGTGTCATGTTGAGATTTCGAATGTCGTGCTTTCAGTTTTGGGAAGCTCTGAGAGGGCTGGGGCAGTGTGGGGTGGGTAGGGGCAGGTATCTCTGGCCAGTGCCGGCGTCGCGTTCTGCCTGGCTTTTTCCATGCCGGTGGTAATGTGGGCTCTTCGTTCTGTCATCCTGAGCTACTACCAAGCGGCATGTGCTGCAATGGCACGCAGCGCAGGGCTCCCGGCAGAGGCTGGCTAAGCAGTGACCCCCACTCTGATGCTACGTTTTTGGTTAAGGCTGTCGCCTTTCATTCTTAGCTGCTCTTTTTTGGCTCGTTTGCAGTGGGACATCTCTGTGGGGTGTGCGGGTCGCGCCGGACATGACCATGTGAATGCTTAAAGTGATGTAGGCAGAAGATCCCATGCATGGCATCCCTGCTATTGACGCCCTATGTTTAATTCAGTATTTAAGGTACGGATGAAGAAGTGCAATAGATACAAAATCATAGATGCAACCTCCGAGGCAGTAGAGTTAGCTGCAAAGCCCTGATTGTGCATTGCGAAGCGTAGTGTTCCGTGAATCGGTTTCTGCTGCTGCCTGCGCAGGACGTCTCTGAGGTTGAAAATGGCGAACCCTCAATGCTGGAATGGTGCATTGCTACATCCTTTCTCATGGTGGTGATTCTCACTCTTGCCACGCTGGTCCCGGATGTCCAAGTGATCATGTCATTAGGCGGATCACTTGGAGGTACTTTCATTGCATTTATGTACCCGGCTTTGTTCCACCTGACGGTTGTTAAGAAAGTGCGATCGGCGCGCCAGATGCTGCGGCTGGAGCACGGTGCAGAGCTCGGAGTCATCGGCATGAGCATTCTCTACGGCATTCTCTGTCTGTCAATTTCGCTGAGACAAGTGTACAAGGAGTTTCTGGAGTCTTCTGAGCTCGAGCCCCCTGTGACAGTCACTTCTACTACAGCGACCGTGACTTTGACGACGACAACGGCAACAGCGCTTATGTCTGCGTTTGAGATGTAGCTTACCGAAGAGCTGTTCATCGGTGGCCCGCAGAAAAAGAAGTACATTCGGTGGAGTGCGAACCTGCGCGCATTCCGGCTTGTGCTTCCAGTTAGACTGACGCGTGCCTAGGAAGTGCGGGAAGCATACCGAAAGAAGAAGTTCGAAGAGGAGCAGAAGGTCCAATCCACAGCCTGTGAGTCATTTGGTTCGAATGTGTGCGAGTTGTTTTTGAAAGTGCCAGCCTATGTGGAGGCAACTGAACGACGGCTGATTCAGAAGGAGAGAGAGGCGAGTTCCACGAAATGCTTTAGTGAAGTCTGGATGCAGAGATCGCCCAGTCCAGGATTTCAATAGATTTCTTGGATCCTTGGCAAAACGTGCATTGACCATTTCTCGGCAAGGCTGAAATCCAGGCGTCCGCGGAGAAGAAGAAGCAGGACAACTTGCAAAAACGGTAAAAGCTTAACAGATGCGGAGTCATCTCCTCTGCCCAGCTGTTTGAAGCAGGATGCTGAAACCTCAATGCCCAAGTCTCGAAATGAGTGCCCGTCGCCGTCTTGGTCTCGTTGTTATACGCTCGCGAACGGTGCCAGTGGTTTCACTCGTGCCGTTGCCCTTGTCGCGGACGTGTGTCTAGTCAGAACAGAAGGCACCTGTTGTCCAACCGTTGAAAGGTTTGAAGATTTGCCAAGAAGCGCGTAGCGACTGGCAGGACCTGGAACGCCTCCAACGCTTGCGTGACCAGAACATCCTCCGCAAGGCAGGGTGTTGCCATGTTACTTGCTGCGAAAACTTGCATAACTCCTCTCGTGGATCGCACAAAGGAGAAGGAGCGCATCGCCCGTCTGGCGGCGATGGCCGCTTAACGCACTGCCGGAGGCTTGCCTCAGGTGCGCTTCACAGCAATGTCCGAAAGCGCGATGCTGCTGTCAGGTTGTGTGGGCTGTGCCCAGAGATGGCATGGTCCGACGATCTCCCTTCCAGCAGGTTTCCGTGCGGTTGCATGCTCAAGACATCCCTGCGACTCAGATTCTTGAACAGTTATCTTCCCTCGCGATTTGCATAAGCAAGCAGCACGTTGTTTCACCCAGCCCGAGTTGTCTCACCTGCTTCACAAGACTGTGGAGTAGGGGAACCCCTGATGGCAGGTGTCACTAGAACCCAACACACGAAGTGTAGGCACCTTCTGGAGTGTTGGGATGGATCCAAGCTCTGCCAAAGGAGAGTCCCGAATTCAGCGCCGAAAGACGCGGCTTTCCAAGTTATTTTCAACAAGCAAATCAGCGAGCATGTGGCATTTGCCGGGAGGGAGTCTGATGTGGAGGTCTACGAAGCAAAGAGATTAGCAGTTTGCAAGCGATGGCTCCAGCTCTAAGCGATTTTAGATTCAGATTTCTCGCATCCCACAGACGTAGGCGGTGTTTGACTCTACGCTTTCTGCTTTCGCGAGCTACGGACGGATCGCAATGGGGTGAACCCGTGAATCCAACAGCACAAGTACAAAGCCAAGGCAGGATCATTGGATAGGCGCATCATGTGATGTGATGGCGGAGAAAGCAAATGGCGGCAACGCCGACGAGGAGGCAAGACTAGTTGGTTGGGACACGATCATGTTGCAGACCTGCAGACATCAAAATGACATGAAGCTCTGTCTGATCCAGGAAGCGGTTATTGAATCCGATATCAACTTGCAGCAGCAGTCTGGACCTAAATGTGCACTGCCTGGGCGAGAAACGAGCTGCCCAAAACCCGTCCGGGTGCCCCTAAGGCTCTTCGCCCTGTTGGCTCCTCATCGGAAGGTGGAGCCGCGGGACGAGGAAGGCACCAACATCGATGCAAGACGGACAGCTGTCGGAGGGTCGACGGCCAGTCCCTTCTTGACATGTGTTTGGTGCATTGCTGTCGACTTGAAGGCAACAGTGGTGCGTTGCCGGAAGCTCAGCTAAAGCTTCCCGGGAATGTTTCAGCCGCCGCGAGGACCAAAATGGTTCTAGGCAGTCGGAATGACTTGAATTTCGTGAGGGCTTGCTCGTAGGTTGTAGCTCACCATGGCAACCCCTCCAGTGAAACCAAGCGCAGTTTGCGTCGTCGTGCTCGTCTCCGCACCTGTGTGCTCAGATTTGCCACAGGCTGGAGCTGGTGGCTGAGACCCCGGCGAGCGAGCGGGATGCCAAGGCACCCGTGGGTTTTGGGCCCCTAAGTCGGAGGTTTTTGGGCGCGAGAACTCTCAGCATCCCTGTGAAGGCCGTTCGGGAGGAGGTGCCAAGAGGCTTACCAGCACTTTGTCCACAAAGAGTGGACTCCTGTCTTGGAGTAAACTCTCTAATCTGAGCAGGTCGAGGGGCAGAGGCCGGCATTTTCGGGTTTGGGGATCCGGGATTGCTTCGCTTGTAGGGCAGTTGTCTCTCCGGTGATGATATGCTTTCGCCTCTGCCCGAGCTTTGAGCCTTTGCTGCCAACAAGCCCTTGGTTGACTCTTCGCACGGTTAACTCCTCCGCGGATAGCAGCCTGTTGTTGCAGCTGGAAGCTTCTCCCAGCACCTCGCAGTGCAAGTGGCACGTGTCAGGCTTCTCTAACACCGAGCTGTGTCGTGGAGCTGGCTCTTCCGGCTGGATTTGTATGTCGGCGCATGCGACCGCAGGGCTTGGATGAGCTTGGCAGCTGACCAAAGAACATGGGTCGGCTACCTGCTAGGGTGTTCCCTCCGAGCCTTATTGAACTGTTGTTTGTAAGTGCCTCCTCTCATTGGATTATCATTCGGAAGCACCCTTGTTTCGAATCCTTGTGAATTCTCATTGAAAAGTGCTCCCCCCCCTCTGAAACTCACCGAGCCATTATTCGGATGTCCTGCCCTGACCTGGAGTGTGCCAGAATGCTCCGCGACAAGAAGCGGTGCCGGAGAACGATGCAGGCGGGTACCGCGAAACCTCCACTATGCCTGCACGGGACGTTTTGCAACGATGTGCGAAGCTGCGCAATTCTCCGCAGACGGCGACACCGAGCCCGAGTCGAAGAGTTTGTCGGAACCTTCTGAAGCGACGGTCTCGGGCTTTCCGACAGTCCTGGCGGTGTGGGTGTCTTCGTCGCTGTGAGTCGAGGATGGCCTGGCCCAGTTCGAAGACGAAGACACGGAGGAGGTGCTGCAATGGCGGCCTTCTCTGGCATGGGGCGGGGGGAGGGGGGCGAGGGTTTTTGCTGCAATCCGTGTATTTCCAGGAGGAGGACGCCTGCATGGAGGAGGCTCGCTCGGTGTTTCGCGGGTGACAATCAAGGTTTGCGCATCAGCATGGCACTTGCCTTGAAGGTCATGGCGCGGCCCGTGGAGGTGGAGGAGCTGCCGAGAAAGGCCCAAGCCATGGCCAGCCCCCACTTCTGCTTCGGGCGAGCCTTTGCTCTGCAGGCGCCCGCGGCGCCCGTGATCCCAGAGTTGCCGCCCAGGCGCCGGGTTGCCCTCCACAGCCCGAGCGAACGCAAAAGAAGGGAAACTTCCCGGTGACTCTGCGGAAACGTGAGGCTGAAGCTCCTGAAGCAGCTGATAGAGGCCTGCAAAGACTCGTTTGCAGTCCCTTGCCTCTTCCGACATCTTCGCGCATGTGCAGTTCCGTGGCCTTGCAGGCGCCTGGGGGTGCTTGCGAGGCGCCTGGGCCCTGGACCTTCGGCTTCTGCTGGCCGGAGCTGACCTTGCCCCGCTTCGCTTCGCTTCGCTTCTTTGAGGGCCCAGATGACCTATCAGGATTTCTTGCGACGGCGGCTGCCTCGGAGCCCCAAGCCATGACTCGGAACGTCTTGTGATGTCTTGTGAGGCACCTGTAAGCAGGCGAGTCGGTTCTCTTCCGACGCTGGTTGTCTTTTGTATCCCTCCAGGCTTTGTCAGCGCGCTGCTGAGAATGGCCGAAGCGATGCCGCCCGCAGCAAAGTGCCAGGACCTCATGATATACCTAAGCATTTCGACCTCAAAGCAGAAAGCCTCTTGTGAGCATGTGCAGACTTGATATCCGAATCGGACCTCCTTCACGACCTTTCTCGTACCCGTCCTGAGACCTGAAGTAAACGCATTTTCCTGTGCCGAGCAACCCTGAAGTTCCGATTTGGCGATCATCCGGCAAAGCACCTCGCCCTCCCTCCCGTCCATCACAATAGTACCACCATGCAATGAGCCAAGAGCATCCACGATTTCACGACACGTTGAACCCTTTGTGAGGTCTTTCAGTATGAAGACCACTCCGGTGATGCGATTCGCCACTTTTGCACGGCATCGTCGCCTACACGGTCCGGTGGTGGAGGAGAGGAGATCTTTCATCCCCCGGAGCAAGTTAAAGCTCGCCTCAAGCCAACTCTGCACTCTGCTCGCAGGGGTCAATCGTGGTCGTGACTGCCCTAGCGCCCTCATGAAGAGTCTTGTCACACGAAATCCCTCTCTGAGGATGACGATGACGATGCAGGCAGCCGTGACCAAGACGAAAAGGCACAGCAGCACCGCCTGCAGCCTTCCCTCCGCTTTCTCTCCGGTTGTTGTACTTGTCGTGTTTTCCAATTGCACAGCTGTCGCATGCCCAATGTGGCATGCTGGCGTTTTTGGTGTGCTGCATGTGGCGCAGGTGCCCATGGCGCCGCTCCCGAAGGTTGCCGAGCCCGGGCGCCCCGAGGCTCCGACGGAGGCAAGTCGAGGGGTGCTTCTAATGGCATCTTTGTATGATTTTCTGCCCTTGCCCTCGCTCTTACAGGCCAGGAAGGAGCTGGATGCAGCATACAAGGCAAGATGCCGCACACTGTGCCATCTCTGCTGGCGTCCGGTACGTGTTTTCTTGGTCAGTCGGATGCAAGTTGGGTGCACTGGAAGGCACCGACGGCTTGCGTGGCGTTGCTGCGCCAGTACTTCAGCCAGGAGCACTTCCAAGATCTCTCGACTGCCACTGCTGAGGGCTAAACGTAAGCGAAGGAAGGCAGCTGCCTGATACTGAGCGATTGAAATGAATACAGTAGGGGGGACGACCATCGCCGATGAGGGCGCTCCAAGAAGGCAGTGAAGTGCCAACAGCAACGCAATGGAGCCTGCCAGGAGCGCTTCCTGGGAGTGTTGAACGGTGCTTTGATCTTCGAGGCCGCGACCCCGCGCAGTGGGCGGCAAACGAAGCGAAGGGGATTCATCCCAGCAGCTGGCCCCCGACAAGACATCCCGGAGTTCTCAGCAACGGCAAGTCGGGGATAGGAGGTCAGACTATAAGTGACCGATTCGGCCACAGTGACCTCCGCCTCCTGTTCTGAGACACCTGCTAGGTGGGATGTTTGATGATGTTTGTCCAAACTGAATTAGCCGACACAGGCTGACGGAGTCCAATACCCTTTGCCGAGGGCCTCAGAGGACCATGTGGCCAAACTGCAAAGGGCTCCTTACGGCAGCTTTGATGCTGCCGAACTCCGAGGCAGACTGTGACACCAATCCGCTGCACCCCTTCCACGAGCTCAGAGCTCCTTAGTGCGGGTCCCGGCGAGCACACGAGCATACACGAGCGGAGCTATCCGAAGCAACGGGAGCTGTCGTTGTCCTGGCGAGGCCTTGGGTCACTTTTTGCCGCGGCCATTCTGCAGGACAAGTATGAAGGCGGGGCTGCCATAAGGCTCCTGCTTCAACTTGCAGATTCTTGTGATTCAGGGCATGCGACGCCGGCTTTCCTGAAAAGCGTGGTCCTCAGTCGGGCCGTGGGCACCTACTATGATATTCGAGATCTTCGCCGACGAAAGTCTCAGCCTCCCTCTGACCGATAACTGTCAGCTCTGGTGAAGTCTTTCTTGGCTAAGGATTTGAAGCTAAGAAGCTTCGGTCTGCCCATGCGCAGATTCTGTCTGCCTATCTGTCGGGCAGGTTCCCTCGAAGTCTCGTCGAATGCAGTCTTCCATCACGAAAGACAGGACCGACAGCTGCAGCTTACTCTTGAGCCGTGCGAAGACCCAGAAGGTCCGGCCTCGGCGCATTCCTGTTTGTTGAGCTCGCCATCGTTTTCCAATCATGGTGCCATTCCCCTTAAAGTCATTTCATCTGGTTGCGGCCGTTGCTGTGCAAGGGCCTGTGTCCGGGTGAATGTGTTCGGAGGCTTCCGAAGCTCGGCCTTCCTTGCTGAACGAGGCGCAGAGTCAGATCGAGTCTGCTCGGTCAGTGTCATTCTACGGCCAGGAGGCTTTGGGCGGCCGCTGTAAGTCAGCGACGAAAGCTCCGATGCTGGCAACTCGTGTCTGTGAGCTGTGTCGTCCTGAGCCTGCGTGAGCCAAAGCAACCTGAATGCCCAGGCCAGTGGAAGAGTTGCGATCTCTGCCCGGACAGGCGCTTTGCAGCACCGGTTTCAGAGATCTCCAGAATGGGGAGCACTGGATGTCGCAGATGTACCCGTGCAACAGCTGCGCAGCTCTGGAAGTGTTTCTCTCTGCGATTTCGGCTTAGCTGCCGATTTAGTCGAGGCTGTGACAAAACCTTGAATAAACGAAATTGTGCTAGCCCACCTTTTTGTGCTGTCCGAATAGGCGTCCAGATGTAAGACTTCTCGGGACCCCACAACACGGCAGGTTATGGTATGTAGTTTTAAGGTAGTTCGGCTGCCCAGGCACAACCTGCGGCCATTGTAGCATTCTACCAGGAAAACCCTCCGCGACGATGTCCGCTTATCTGCCGTAAAGTGAAAGGTTACACCGACAGATGCCATCCCCGCGACTTGATGGCCTGGATGCACCGCGCTGGATTGCATCCGCCCACATCGATGCTTGGACACGAGAGACCCAGTTCTTAGAAGTCGAATGTTTCAGCAGCAGCGTGAGCAGGTTGTTCGCGCAGCCAAGGTGATTTTCCATTACTACCAGTCAACCGGTGTCAGGCAACTTGGAGTCTGATGTTGGATCAACACACATCGCAGAGACTCTGACTCACAATATTGCCGTTACAGTGAGGTATTTCGAGTTCGGTGGCCTTTGGACACAGTTCTTCTTCATACTGGGAGGTTTCATCTTGTCCTACACTGAAGCTTGGCTGTAGTCAGCTCGGAAGGCTTTCTCCGGCTCTGGCTGTTGCTTTCTTTTTGATTATTCTCTAGGTATACAGGAGCTAAATAGAGAATTTGATTGTCGAATGCCGAGGAAATCTCAAAACCACAAGGAGGCAGCACTCCCACCGTGGTGCAATACCTCCAGAAGCGACTTGCAATGTGCTCAGCTGTCAGTCGGAATTGCCGTACTCTGTACTGGTAACAAGCAACCTATCTTTGCATTTCGTGAGGTGACCATTTACCCGCTTCACTTCGCAACACTGTTGATGTGCCTGGTCTCGCAGCACGGGAAAAGACTGTGGCAAGAGAGTCTGTGTGTGACTCGAGAGAAGTTTAGGGCCAAGACTCATCCATCGTAGTATTTGGCCTCTGCAGGTGTGTCTTAGACCGTTCCGAGCGAAGCCTCTTCGAATGGTGCTGTTTGCCGTTGAATGCTCTGCTGCTTCAGCCCCTCGGCATCAGACATCACGATGGCTATTCGTCTGTACTGTGATTTGACATTATGCAGCCGCGATGTCGTTTTCAAGAAAAGTCAGTTTGCTTTGTCCCAAACTTGAACACCGAGAGTTCTTTTCTGGCATGCGTGTTGCAACTCCGGCCGCATGCGAAGGTCGATCGTCCCAATCTGCTACGAGAACACGCGGCTCGGTCATGTCGGAAAAGCAGGAGCCCTTATTGCGGCTTCAGGCGATTGCCAGTCACTAGTGTGAGAGCCTCCAGCAATCATGCGACGGAGAGGCACGGAAAGGATAGCCCAGGCACACCGCGGGAAGTGTAGAAAGCAGCACGACAGGCGCAGTGCTGGAACAAGCTTGCAAAGCGGTTCATGTGAAGCTGAGAAGAAGCTGTTGAAGCGCGCCGAGAAATAAGGTGTGCTTCCTACATGTACAACGGCAACGTGGCGTAACAGTGGTACATGAAGGGTAGAAGAACCTTCGGCTAGTGTGACTGAATTTTCTGTGAAGTTTGATGCAGCTTTGATGCCAGCTTGCAGAAGGTGTCTCAAATGGGAGAGTGCATGCTTGCTTGTGTAGCATTTTGGGCTTCAGTATGGCACAAAGAAGATGTCCTTCGCGAAGCTTACACTCGAAAACCGACGAGCATCCAGTGAATCCAAGTCATGAGTTTACAGCGAGGCCCCAGATTTATGTACAGAATGTAGTTTAAACTTGTAAGTACTCCAACGGTACAAGGGTTTTTCATGCTGTCACAAGACTCGGCTTCGAAAGTGGAAGCAAACGAGTCTGCCCATGTGCATTCGTCAGTTTTTGATTGCTTTGCCGTGTGCCGCATTGTCATAAGTCTCGGGCACGGCGCCTCGCACACCGAGGCGTGAGCTGGTTCCTCTCGCCCTTGCTGGTGCTTGGGGCCTACAGCGTGGAAAGCTCACAACATGCAGTGAGGCTTCGAGGCAGTCTGTGCCGCTTGTGCCTTTTGCGTCAACATGATCTTGTGCCGAGATACTGGATCTGTGTCCGTCCCCTTTCGCGCCTATTTCGAACAACATCGCTGAGTACATGCATGATCTGTCTCGCAGGCAGGTCGTGCTTCTTTGGAGTCGCATGAGGTGCTTCCTCCTCATTTCGCCCATCTGCCTTTCGCGAGGTTGCTGGCTGTGTTCACTTCTTCCTTTGGCTTTGTACCCCGATGAGAACAGCGGTGGTTCGGACTCTGTGCTCGCACTCATTGGCCAGAGAAAGCTTTGTTCATGGTGAATCCGTCTGTGTGCCAGCAGCTTGTGCCGAAGGAGTATGCGCGACTGGTCCTTTCGAACCTGGTGCAGGCCCGGGTGCCCTTTTGCTGTCAAAGTCGCGTCTACCTGAGACTGTCCCGTACGCAAATGCAGGCGACACCGATTGCTTACTTCCACGTGTTCCTGTCCGGAGTGGTGGCTTCTCGCATCTTCGTCCTTCTCTGCTGTGTGGACAAAGAAACAGGACGGAGTCGACGGGATCGGGGTGAAACAGGGAGAAACGCAGTCCGCAGGACTGCCGCCGTCGGAAGGAACAAAGGATCTAGTGCTCGACACGGAGCGGGCACCATTGGTGCTCAGATACGGCTGCATGCTCGGACCCTCGTCGAAGAGGTGATGCCCCGGCATCCGTGATTTCGACCCATGATGACCCATATCTGCGATCTGAGGATACCTCCTGTGGGCCGGGTTGGTCATCAGTTGGTCCTTCTTGGAACCTGGTATCAGCAACGGGCTTCACCATGGAAAAGTGTATTGGATGTGCGGCACCTAGCTGCTTCGGGATGCATCGGTACGGTTAGAGTTTCCCAGAAGGCCAGCAACACACCCTGTTTCGGCACCTGCGTATCTCGCTCGCAAAACAAGCCTTGAGGTTTCACAACGGGGGTTTGATCCCGATCCTGGTGCTCATCCTGCTGGGCTGTGGGCTAGGTCCGAACGCCCAAGAAACGGAGACACCGAGCACTGCAGCGTGACGGCAGGTGAGGATCCCTTGGTGAAGCATCTCTTCCGCACGCACGTGTTCCGCATCCTGGGACGGATCTCATATTCCCAGTATCTCTTGCAGGCGAGACGGCGAGACCCGATACCACGGCTCCAGCAAGCATAACTATGCCCTGCCCTGAGGATCCGGTTTCTTCATTCTTGGCCTTCTACCTTATCCCGGACCGCCACGGACCATGGGGCCACAATCCCATACCAGATAAGCAACTCGGGTAGCAGCGCTTGTCAAATCTTGTTAAGAATGTGAGACTTTGGCAGGCTCCGCTGCACATCAAGCGATTAGTCGTCGGTTCTTTTCAGACGAGGTTCCTCACTGTGTACCCCTTTGTGCTGTTGCCGTCGGCGTACTTCATTGAGCATCCACGATGCAGTGGGTGGGAGCGATGCTTTACAGAGCCTGCAGTTCCCTGTCAACAGCGTCTGTCAGATGTTTAGCTCCGGTTCAGGAGAGTCTCAGAGGCAGCACAGCTGCTTGAGTGCTTGTTTGATGCAGTGCTGGGCGCTCAGGAGCTACTTTGTTCAGCCCTACGTCCTTTGGCTCCGGCACCAGCTCAAGGAGCCCTTAGACCGGCGTGTCTTAGGCATAGAGGCTTTTTGCCCTGCCTGCGAGGAACCGAGCTCCAACTGCTCTGACTGTGGTCTGGGATGCAGAAGGTGGTGTTCAGCGGCTCGTCCGGTGCAGTGGCGAGCTCGCATGCGTCTCCATGGAGACCTGTATCAGCCTAAGGCACTCTTCGAAGTTTTCCCGCATAGACGGAAGAAAGACCCGGAGCCCTTTGGCGACACCGAAGACCTGCGACACGTAGTGCGTCATAGAGCGTCAAGAGAAGGCACCCTCAAGCATGGCGGCATTGGATGCCGCGAGAAGTAAGGTCCGTGCTCGGCGTTGACCCACAATGCCTGGCAGCCGTTGCAGAGAGTGCAGAGGACTCCGCCCAGGAGGCCATCAATGCCATCGAGCTTCCGGGCAGCAGAGACTGATGTTTGCGATCTTTTCTGCGAGTGGATTCGGCCAACCGAGGCCTCAGTACCACAAACGACACTCGTCATCATTCAGAGTTGGCGGATGGCGGCATGGGTTGCATTTCCTTGAGCGCAGGTGTTGTGGTCGTACCCGATTACGAACGCATGCAGATGGAGGAGCTATTTTAGCGAGTCTGTTCCCTTGCAAAGTCCACGGGGAGGGAGCTCTGAGGTCAGCACAGGGACGCCTTCCAGGAGAAGAGCGGAGTGTCACATTCATGTAATTAGGAGATCGCGCAAGAGCAGAGCGCTTGCTTAGATCGGACGAGCGGAATCGTTGATGCAGTGGGGGCGTCTCCGCAATTTGCGGCATTGGTCACATTGGCAGCGGCAGCAGAGAGCGACGGCAGTAGTCGGTAGCGACGGCACTAAGCAGCCCAAGCGTGGGACTTTGCAAGCAGACAGCAGCCTGACAACCGTGTGGAGGGGAGAATCGAGGTAGGGTCACGAGGGCAGGGTAGTGAGTGCATGTCCGCTTAGATGTCAGGAGGAAGAGGTCTCTGCCTCTCAAAGCAATGGCAGCCAAAGCAACGACGAAGAGTCAGGTTCAGGCGCACGCGTCTCTCCGGGCGTTGCAAGCTCTTGGCATGATGAAATTTGTGCTTCTTGCAGACTCTTCTGTGTAGCTCGCAGCTTTGCAGCTCCAGGCTCGGGCGAGTCGACAGTCGTTGGCGAGAGGAATTTTCCTACCCGCTGGCTGGCTTCGATGACTTTCTCAAACTTGACGAACGCTTGAGTTCAGATATGTGCCGAATGTCTCAGAGAGGTTCATCCTGAGAGACCTTCGGCCATTCTCTTGTGTGGTCAAAGAGCAGTCCATACCTTCTGCAATCATGGTTTATTAGCAGTTAACGAGTGTGGAACGCGGCGACACATCGAGGCAGTGTTGCCGAAATCAAGGCACCTTTTCCAGATGTGTCGCTTGGCGCCGCTCTCTGTGCATTATGCCAAATGCAGGAATGTGCAGATAGAGCATGGTGGATCTGTACATAATACATAGCCTGACCGAAGTTTAGAAACCTCCACTAGGGGCAGAAGTGCTTGAAGCACCTTTGCCTCTCGCTGCGCGATAGCCTCGCCGCGCGATCGCTTCAGCAACGTGAGCGAAATTGGTCTGAGCGGAGCCTCGGAGTGGAGAGTGGAGCGATGCGGAGCGGCAGAGCGGCTTGGGAGTCGCGGAGGCCGAGGAGAGCGAAGAGGAGGAGGTCCTGAGCCCCACGGAACAGCCCAGGGCTCAGATGGGCCCAGGCTCAGCTGAGCTTATAAGAGGAGCTCAGACTCAGAGCAAAGCGAACGGAACTCGACACATGACGAGTCGTTTGAGTAAGATGAGCAACTTCCTATCCCGTCTCTTTTTCTCCCGCTAAGGTTCACGTCGGAGAGCGAGTCCTCAGAGGCGCGCCCGTCGAGTCCGTTCCGACCTGCGAGGGCCAGCATTGTCCGACCTGCGCCCAAGACTCCTCGCTCGTATTCGTGGGGAGGCGTCGACGTCGGTGGCGCCAACGCCCAAGGCGGAGCCCAAGGCGCCGAAGGCCAAGGCGGAGGCGCCAAAGCCAAAGCCGAGAGACGCAGCCGCGGCCGCGGCCGCCGCGCCTACGCCGCCAGCGCCGAAGGCCAAGGCTCCCCAAGCGAAGGCGGAGCCCGGCAAAACGAAGGCGAAGAAAGCGGAGACGGAGACGGAGGCGGAAACTCCCAAGCCGCAGCAAGCGGAGCCGCCCCCTTCGAAGCTGCCAGCGGAATCGGCAGAAAGGGCGAAGGCCGAGCCGAAGCAGGCGAAGCCGGTCCCCGTGCCGGAGCCGCCGGAGCCGCCGGAGCCCAAGGCCGAGCCGAAGCCGAAGCCGCCGGCACCGCCGGCACCGGCGGCGGCTGCCGCGGCAGGAGAGCTGGCAGCGGCCCAGCCCCAGCCGAAGGCGACGAAGGAGCTGCCAAAGCAGCAGACTCCGAAGCCTCCGATGGCTCCGAAGAAACCAGAGCCAAAAGCGACTCCGAAGCCGGAGCCTAAGGCCAAAACGGTGGCAAAGCCGAAGGCGCAGGCTCCAAAGCCCAAAGTGCCAGCTGCAACGGAGAAGGCATCCGCACTGGTTTGTTTAATGCCAGCCAGGGGAGTTAGGGTCTTAAGTTTCATACATGCGCGACATGATATGACATGGGCCGGGCTTGTTCCAGCCAAGAGGCATGCAGGTCTGCATGTAGATCTCGCAGGAACCGAAAGCAGCCACGCCAGCAACGCAACCAAGCGTCGGTGCTGGAAAGAATGGGGAAGAGATGGAGATGAGGCTGCGTGTGCTGAAACGCAAGCTCAGCACTCAGCCGGAGACCTTCGTATTGTGGGCGTGTGGAAGCTGCATCTTGCTTCTCCGAAGACTTGGTCAGGCTGCTGGGAGACTCTGCTGTGGCAGCAACGACCGCTGTGGCTCCGGGGCTCAGCCTTGAAGCCGTTGGCAAGTGTACTGCAATCAAAGTTTTGACTAACTCGGGGACATCGGAAATGTTAGGAGGCCAACTACATCTAACTACTCTTCTCATCCATTCGAAATGTTGAAGGCGAAGCTCCAAGCGAGGCTTCTAAGGCCGGGTCCAGAAGTCGTGGGCTTTTCGGAAAACTCTTCGTGCCGCTGATCGCCTTGTCCTTGCTTGTAGGCTGAAGGCGGAGGAGCAGAAAATCGCACTGACCACCGAGGAACTGGAGGTCTGGCCGATGGCCGAAGGAAGGGATTTTATCTTCGAGTCCACTGAGTCCAAAGCCGTCTCCAGGCGCAGTTGGGATGCGTGAAGGCCGAGCTGGAGACGGCTTTGGCCAAGCGGCGAAAATGCGAGGAGGCAAGTTTCTGCCCTGCGAGAAGAGAGGAGTATAGCCCCTGCTTGCTGCCAGGAGTTCGGCTCTCACGACCGACTCAAGGCGACATGATTTCCCGTCTGGGCAATCCTGTAAACCGGGTGTCTGCAGAAAGACTTCCAGGTGCTCGAAGGCCGTCCGGGCCCGCAGTACCTCGAAAGGCCAGGCTGTTGAATTGTGGCGTAGGTTGGGTTTCCACGGGTGCAACTCATTTTGACAGAAGGCTCTTCGGCAATCTGGCAGCAATGTTCGTCGGACATGCAGCGGGGAGCTTAGTGCCGTGTCGTGCATGTAAAGCGCTTGTCGCTTTGGCTGAGGCAAGTGCTCCAGTTCCCTGCAAAGTTGAGAGGAAGTGATTCGGGCCCAAATCCGCGGGCTCGTTGCCGTTAATGCCCCTGGAATTGCGGCGTCATGCTCTGCCAATGCAGTGGAGCGACGACCCGCTGCCACCCGACTGGATGCGATCTAAGTAGTCGCTGAGACAAGGAAGTCTCACCCTCTGTCGGTACTGGGTGATCCCTGTCATGATAGAATCCGTGCATTTGTGCCTTCGTTCTGTGCTGGGCTCACAGCAGCTATCAGCTAGCAGCTGATTCTTGTGAACAGAACGACCCGACTCCCATCTTGGTGAAGTTGAAAACGCTCGAAACTCCGTAGGTCACGAGGCAGATAGACCGATGGAGCGGGACGCGTCGAAGCCACCGGCCAGGCGCGGGAGCTGGGCTCCGATGCGGGGTGCAGTCCCGGCCCGGAAGGCGGCGACGCATCGACTGGGCAGCAAAGTCGCAAGCGTGGCAAGAGGCCGATGGGCCTTCGTCAGGCCTGAGGCCTTTCATGCTCAGTGCAACAGATCTTGCATGTGCAGACCCTCATCCCGAGTGCCGCTTCGACATGCTCGGAGAGGACTGCATTTCAGCCTGAATCGAACTTTCTTCTGCTCCTCCTTTGTGGTCTTATGTAATTTTGTGTGTTTCAAGAGGAGAGAGCTGGCGCTGCCTGTTCAAAACGAGGACAGCGCTCTAGTAGGCATTCGGGCATAGTTGACTCGACGTACGGACTATGCATGCAGCATGCTTTCCTGGCAGCAGGAGCATGGCTCCCGACAGAAGTGCTAGAATAGTTGCATCGGGATTGAGCCTCGAGACCGTGCGCATGCAAAAACAAGCATCCCAAAACACACCAAGACATGCGCAGCAGTCACTTTCCCAACCCGACGCTAGCCTTCGCGCAGCATCGGGGAGGACGAGTGGAAGTGTGACAACGCACCAGCTTCCAAACATGCAGCATGAACATGGCAGGTCGAGTAGTAAAAATCATCGCGCAGACATTGGCAGCTTCCGAGCACATCCGGCGTAGAACCGGGTCGAAGAGCCCAGCGGCTGTATCCCGCGCTGTCGAAAAACAAGTACCGTGGTTTATGAAATGTGTTTCAAGGCGCTGAACTTTGTCTGTGTTGCGATGCACGTCGAAGGACCTCACTCACCTCGCAGCTTCGCAGGTGGGATGTGGGGCTGATCGTAGCTTGCATGGTTCTGCCCAAGCCCCAAGACTGGCAGGCACGGCTGCTGCCTGCTTCGCCCAAAGTGGCGCTTGCCAGCTGCACACGCGGGTGCTTCACCCTACCATCACGGGTCACATCACCGCGCGGGCATTCGCTTGTGCAGGTGCCGGCCAGCACGGCTGCGTGAATGGCTTTTCTGGCATTTGGCGAAGGTGCAGGGGATCAGTTCTGAGATGATCAAAGCTTCGAACAGCCGTCATGATTCTCTGTCGCAGGGCATCCGGCTCGTTCTTCTTCGCTGGGTACCCTGTCAGCAGAGGTCGTGTCCTTCGAGCTCAGACATGTCAGAGCCGAGGAGGGTGCAATGGGCCCAGAACAAGAGGAGGTCCAGTTCCCGGTGCACCCGTGGCTGCAAGGGGTGTCAGGCTTCTGCAATCACCATCATAGGGGCCTGTTGGGGGGGCCCCAACGAAGGATCTGCATGTTTATGATCTCTTTTGAGCCTGAAGAGCAGGTCATCCGCGACCTGCGCGACAGCGGCTGCTTGATCCTGCTGGAGTCCTCCTTGCAGGTACGGCATGGTTCTTTCGCTGGAATAAAGCGGGTTCTAATGTGTTTTCGCAATCGTGCAGGGCAAAGCGTCGAGCAGCTTCCAACGTGTTATGACGCGTCAGATCAGGCCCGTGCTGTGTGCCACAGACTTGTACCTCCACAGGCCAACTCGCGAATCCCCTGAGGTTTGTGCACAAAGCCATTCGGGCAGCTCGAGCCCGGAGGTGTCGTGGGGCTACCCCAGTCGATGTGAGAGTACTGCTTTGTAAGTAATTCGTAAGCAACTTCTACGTGTCAGCTGGAATGCGTCGTTGTAGCCATGATTGCCGCCAGATGCGACTTCCTGCTTCATCTCGATGATGACGAGCTCCTCTTCCCAGAGGCAGCCCCCTCAAGATCTGGGAGGATGGCGATGATGATGCTGGTGGTGGTGGTGCTGTTGCTGCTGCTGTTGTTGTTGCTGCCGTGCAAGCCGCCAATGATGACTTGCATGGCACATTAGCATTTATGCGATGCATGGATAGTTCGATTGCATGCGCCTCGGGAAGCTGCCTTCAATGAATCTGAGACCGGCAGCATCCCCGTGCTGCTGCGACAATACGTGGGAAGCAGCAAGAGGCCGGGCGCACTAGGCTGTGCCTCTGCGAACTCGAGCCCGTATGGAGAGTCATGAATTAACGGGGGCAGAGTCGCACCGTCGAAACTGGGTCACAGGTGTCTGCACTTCGAGAACCTCGAGGCGGGTCCTTTGTTGGGCGGCCCCTCGGTGCGTTCTCGTCTCAATTCTCGCCGTCCTTCGGAGGCAGTCTTTCCCTTCGACCTTCAGACAGACTGCCCCTTCTCGCGGCGCCTCACGCGCTTCAGGCCCTCTGTTTCAGAGAAACCACAAGAGGAGATTCGGGACATGGACTCGACGTGAATCCTAAATCACATCCAGACGAAGCATCCTCGAATCAGGAATGTTGGCTGGTGCAGATCTGTGATGACATCGCTCGCTTGCTCACCCGCAGTCTCAAATTGAGCCATACGTAGCAGTCACGCTTATATTGTACCACGAGTCCAGCCAAGCTTCTGCGATTGCCAACTTGATCTCCGATGGATTCAAACGTCGCTAGGAAGTGCAGTAGCTCTTCCAACACAGCTGCTTAGATGCACGCTAGACGCCGCAATGGCGCCCAAGAAGAAGACCATCAAAGAGTCGGCCGGGCACACAGCAAGCAGGGACCGGAAGGGAGAGAATCCCGTGGGGCCGCTGACAGGCCAAGGAGAAGGCCAAGGCCAAGGCCAAGGAGAAGGCCAAGGCGAAGGCCAAGGAGAAGAGCAAGGCGAAGGCCGGGGGGCGAAAGCGTTGAAAAGACTGCGGGTAGTCGGGTCCCTTCTCCTGGATGCCACCTGAACTTCAACCATCGAGGAAGCCAAGATACCAGCATGTCATACAGAAACTGGTGCCTGTGGGTCACGTGCTCCAAAGGATCGCGAAATCTTGACACAGCATGGACAACGTTGGGGCTGGTGTTTCACACACTCATGCCCGAAATGCTGAGATCCTATCGTTAGACACTTCCAACAACGCCCCTTTCGGCTTCTGACTTTTCGGAGGTTAGTTCCGGTGAGGTTTTCCCGATCCCCATCGCCAAACCCCGATCAAAGCTCCAAAGAGACGCCCCAAGATTTCTGCGTTGCCAGGCCGCGGAGGCCAAAGGCTCCGCCACGGCGGAGGCCCACCGTTGGCTACGACCCCTTCTATGACGGAAGCCCTGTAAACGATCCCTTAAAGGAACCCTTATAGTAGCTCTTAGCTTTCCTATGGTGCCATATGTGCCCGACATAGTACTTGTCATGGTAGCTCTTACGGCACGGAGTGCGTGCGTTGATAGGCGACCAGCTTGGCCACATCCGCGTCTCTCAAGGCCAGCAGAGAGCACTTTTTGCCTGCATCTCTGTCTCCGAGAGAGAGGCCATGGCCATGCTCCACTCTGCATCCGGCTTTCGGTTCAAAGCTGTCTGAGACATGTAGTGAAGTGTGGTGGATCTGCGGCCCTCCGAGGCCCTTTGAACTCCGAGGTCCAAGGTTTTTCTCTGTCTTGACGCATCGCCTGGATGTGCCCAGCCTAGAAACAGACCTTGTCCCATGCGTTCTTAGATTCCACGCGCCATGGATGCAGATGAGCCCAGCTCTTCTCCACATCGTGCTGAGGCGGATGAGTCCCGGGACGGAATCATCGAACACGAATAAACAGCCCTTGATGGAGAGACAAGGATAGATGAAAGAGATGATGACAGAGGGGGTGAGAGGGCGAGTGAGAGAGACAGAGAGAGCGAAAGAGCTGACGTTGGAGATCGGAAGACCAGCCGTTTACACACTTTCAGCAGGCCGCGAGCGTGATGGATCTGACACAGTCTTATATCCCCTGAAAGCTTTTGCGAGTCCTCTTGGCAGCAGCGACTGCCTCCATGGAGTTGAGAACGAGAGGGGGATCTGAAGACCTGGCTGCGCACCCCCGCCGCTGCCTGACGTTCTTCGTGCGATGTTAGTTCGTCAAAAAACTGTGGGAAGATGGTTGAAGTGCCAAGCATTTCTGATGTGGCCGGCTTCCGTCTGGTGCTCTGGACCTAGATATCATATCTGCCAGGTTTTTCCCCTCACCAAATATTTCGTGCCAACGCACAGCCACTTCTACTTCCGAAACTTGTGCTATCCTTTCATTTTACCCATGAAGTCGGAAACAGCAGAGAAACAAGTAGAGAACTGGAAGCGTGCCGCGGGGAGGGGGGAGATATGCTTCTCGTTTTGCTGTGTGGAAGAAGACATGCACGCGCACACGCGGAGATATCGTGTACTGTTGCAGGTGAGTATATGCCGGTAGAGGTTTTCTTTACTTCTAGTTGTATCCGTGGCAGCCAGGGAGCGTAGGTAGCTTTTAGCATTGTTCTTGCGGATCTTTAGGCAGCGTGCCGTGAAATTGCCGGAAAGCACGAGTGAGGGTGACATTGCGACGCCGTGCCCCCGTCATAAATGCTGATCAGTCGGCAGGCATGATAAAGTGGGTAGGGACGTCCGAAAATGCCTTCGGCATTTTTCAAGCACCCCCCCACCAAGCTTTGGGGGCTCGTATGCAGCTTTGGAGACGTAGAGTTGTAGAGTAGAATTACCGTGCGCAAATGCCGACCGTGTATGGACACGCCATCAATGCGAAATCTTTCGTCTCGCGGCCCCCGCCTCAGTCCCTTGCAGGCGTTGCCGGCCTTCGCTCCATTGACAGCGCTGTGGGTGGGACGCGGCTTAGCCACAGAGGGGAGCCAGCGATTCGGGCATCGTTTCTTCGGATCCTTGCATCAGGCTACGCTTCCACGAACCATTCGGTGCTCTTCTTGTGGGTTGATGGCATTGCCAGCATCGGCGCCGGTGCTGGCAAACCCAAGAAACTTGTCGCCGGCCTGCAGATGGGAGCACTGCTCAGAGCAGACCACGCAAAGCCCATGAGAGAGTGGCGACAGAAAGCCGAGGTACTGGTCGTCGTGCAGGCCGCTTGTCATCGAAGTCGGCCGATCTGTAGACGTGACAGGCATTCGTCTGGCCTTGAATCAAGGACGAACTGAAGCAGCAGCCTGCCGTCACCCTACGGCGATCGCGATGGGCTTTGAAGGTAGCTGGGCATGGCATGAATCGGAAGCTTCATGGTGCTGTCTTGACAATGAGGCGAAGTACACAGCTTGCGTTTAGTCATGGACTGCCTCTACCGCGCCCACTGCAGTAATCAAGTTCAGGATAGTCCGTTCTTTGCTCCGGGCGATGCACGGCCGTGCCGCCGCATGGATGCATAAAGAGTGGATCAAGCACGACTCTTCGTGAGCTCACTCACTATCATGTGAGTTCAGACTTCGATTCGCCACAATAGGAGCTGCCATCATCTTTGCCCTTGCTGCATAAGTGTAGAAGTTGTAGCATGTTTCGACGCATTCTGTTGCCATTACATGGAGTTTGTGTCAGGCGGCGTCTGCACATTCGAAATTCTGCTCGGCGATATCGCAGGGCTTGATTACTGGAATCCACTGCTGGTGGATGCAAGCCGGGTTGTCATCGAGGTTGGGCAAGCGCGATAGGACGCACTGCAGCCGCGCTCTTCCTTCTGAGTGATGCTGCTGTTGTTCATTCGCATGCTAGGCGCGGTGCTTGACTCGTCGCTGGTTTCCAGACTTGCGAAGTTGCGGACTGCACTTCGGTCGACAGCCCAGTTTGCATCTGCAGCTTGCCCGTGTCGGTCCGACTTTTTGCAGCTTCGGACTTGGGAGGCTGGGACTTGGGGGCGTCTCCGGATGCTGCTCTGTACCGGCCGGTGACCAGCATGCACTTTCTCAGCTGCCAGCCTGCGCTCTCACTCGTCCGGACTCTGAGGTGAAAGGGGAAGTTGGTGTCGAGCTGCCGCAGGTTGCTCTCTCGGCCACACTGCATCACGCCATTCCATCCCATGGGTGCTTCAATTGCTCTAAGCAGGTTGTCCTACTCACGGAGAACTGCAAGCTGCACACGTCTCCTTCCAAGGCTCCCGGGATCGGCCTTTGAATCGAAGTTTCATGCGGTCAAGGTGGAAGATTCTCAGCGATTCTGCACGCGCCCTGCAGGTGTGTCCCAGCTACTGGCAGCCCCGTGCAGAGGAGGCGTCCTTCGCGCGGATCAACGCCGTGGTCCGAGCAGCGGAGCCTCGCTGCTCGAGTTCTCTTGCGGGCATGGCAAGACGAAAGCTAAAGCTGACGTCTAAGACTCTAAGACTAAGACTGTGAGAGACAGCTCCCGTCGGAGCTCCCCGCGAGGAGCGGGTCGTGGGCGGCCCGACCTCTCCGCGCCGCAGCTTGGCACCTCGGCTTTCCGAGTGCTCTCAGATGCTCGGAGTTCTGCGATGTTCTGAGTTCATGCAAGGATTTCAGCGGGGGCGACATTTCGCCCACTTCACAGGCACTCTGGAGCACATCAGTGAGCATCACGGCGACAGTCAGGGGCACCTACCTGCAAACCTGCGGCAACATCGATCAATATTTTTCGAGCAGATTCTACATGCGCTTTCGATGGCATGTGGGTTCGCAGGTCCATGACGGAGATGGCGGCACGGGAAGCTGTGCTTCGCCGCAGGTCGACTCCGACTCCTCCGCTCCTCGATATTTTTCATCATTGCGGTAGCTTGTAACATCCAGGGACTAGATCGCTGTTCGCCCGAGTCATGTTCTCCGGTGCCAATCGTGCTTCCCAGACGGTGCGCATTTGGGGCTCATAGGGAGGTCTTGAGAGGGTGCTCTTTCATTGTTTGGGGTGAATTCGCTGGCACAGTTTGGAGAGTTCGACCCTCTGCTGTTGCAGAGGATCCCGAATTAAATGGAGAGTTTTTAGGTTCCCATGCGATATGATTTCGATTCTCCGGTGCTGAACTGGGCCGGCACCACAGTGCCCAGCCACAAGGTCATGGAAGTGCTGTACAATCGTACGGTGGCCTGGTTGCACTTTGCAATTGCGTTTCGAAGGGGCGGGTGGTGGCCCACTTCACGGCCCGCATCCATGCAATTGAGTGCTGATTCTCTCTGCGACTCCTCTCTTCTGTGCCCAAGTTGCTCTGAGGTGAACTTCCGCTTTGACGACCCCTTCTTGCCCTATGTGCTCCGAGAGGCCAAAGTAGAAATCGGGAGCAGGTTGTTGCAGCTGGAGATCGGTCTTTGCAGAGAGGATCCTCTGCTGGGTTCTGTAAAAACAGACTCCGAGTCCTCTCAAGCCAACACCTACGTACATGGCCTGCAGGTGATCCATGACCCAGAACACACCCGGCTGCTGCGCTTGTGCGAAGCTGGCATTCCGGCATGGGCCATCGCGGCTGGGCGCTTTCTAGATTCGAGATGTATCAATTTTTGCTCAGCTGTTGGGAAACAATGCCTCTTCTTTATAAGAGGAATGCATAAGCACTGCAGGCACGGAAACAGACATAACATGATCATCATGTGGAGCAAGCTGTGACGGGCAGTGAGGTGCTGCCACGATACATAGGGTGCTACCATCGGTTCATGCGACACTTTGTGGCTGTGGTGGTGGTCTTCATTTCTTGCCTCTCCATGCTCCTGGGCTTCTACGACTTGCGACTCGGCCGCACGAGCAACGAGACACCTGGAAGGTCTTTGTTGCAAATCGGACTTGCGAGGTACAAGCGCATCCCGCTCGTCCGCTCGCTGCTGAAGCAGTCGCTTGGGCCGCTGAGCCAACGCTTGGAGGAGTTGGTGGTGGCCACTCGGCCGCGTTTTGCCGATCTTTCTTGGTGAGGCACCGAACTCTCCAAGCGAAGGTGCGCCTGTCGGTGCTGCTGGGCTGGTTCCTCCCATACAGCACTATTCTGCGTCGTGCCCGGGACGCTCTCCATTTCTTCTGTGCTTTGGCAGGAGATGTTTGCAGAAGGGCGACGTGGAGAAACACACGTTACAAACGGCTAACGGCTAGACTTCTGCCTTGGCTGCGATGTTTGTCGGTGTGAGGTTCCGTGTTGGGGGCTCTGGTGGCAGCTTTGGCGTCGCCCTTGGCCTACCTCTGCTCGGCGGCCTCGGCGCCCGTGGGCGCGGCGGCCTCGGCCTGGCGGCAGGGAAGCCCAGAAAAAAGGAGAAGCCCAGCTCTCTTCCGGTTAGTTCAGTTTAGAGTCTAGAGACGTCCCACACTTTTTTAAGAGGAGGGGTCTGAAGAGAGGCGTTTGTGCGTGTCGTAGCGGGTTCTGAGGTTCCTCGTGCAGGTGAGTGGAGCCGTCGGCCGCATTGGCTCATCCCTGAGTTCGGGCACCTTGGCGCCGAAGTGCGATGAGAGTTCTTTCAGACTTCATGGAAGGAAACAGAATCTTATGGCATTTAGCTTTGCAGCTGCTTCATGGTACTTTTATGTGCGTTTTTCACAGACATGTGAATCGAGAACTTCCGCTCGACTGTGGGGCCAGGCGCCCAGGGCGGCATCAGCACAGCTCGGCTTCTGCGAGCCGAGTTCAACTTGGCAAGACAGGCCGCCGGGTTTTTTTCGCCCTCGTCTCGCGATTCCGGCCTCTTCCGAGTCTGTAGAAGCTCACAGCTCTGCAGGCTTTCATGAGCGTCTACAACGGCACAAGCTTCCTTGGAGCGACGGTTGCAAAGCACCAGGCTCACAGACACGGCATTCGCGGAGCTGAAGTCCTCGTGAGCGCTGCTGACTTCATGAAGTACTGACGTGTCTCAATGCCGTCACGATCTCTCAAGCAACAGGCCTCGATCCGCGTGTCGTGGTCACGGTGGCACCATGGACTGCGGCGGCAACTTTCGCAAGAAAGGCTCCGGAGGCTTGGCACCGGTGTATGCTTCACATATCTTCACATTGTCTCGCCTTGGATTCTTTCGATTCGACAGCAGGCCGTTGCTTGCTTTGCTGTCGGGCGCGGCTGTTTGGACTTTCTGGCCCGGCAGAGCCACGGAGCTTGCGGTAACCTGGCCAGTGCCTACAGGGGCCTAGGTGCAGGGGTCGAGTTGCTCCTCGTTTCTTTTTGGGGTTCTCATCTTTCGGGCCACAGCCGGCTTTGGGGCGGCTGTCGTTGTGACAGGGGAGGCTTCAGCGACCGAGGTAGATATGGATGTATAGGATGTAGAAGAGTTACTCGGTGGGTTCGGTTCCGTACCATCTAAGCTGCAAGGGTCGTTCGTAGGGTTGTAGACTGCCGGTAGATGTCACGAGGTAAGATGCTTCGACATCATGCTTTGGGACTTTGCCGTGGTGTTGACCAGGCCCTGCTGTGCTACAGTATGCGACGAAGAGGTTTGCGAATGCGGACTGCGTTGCTTAGTCTCGATGCAGGTGTTTCGACTAGTCCCGGCAGCTGCTCGCGCCTCTCGCATGCATCAGTCAAATTTGGGAAACTGCTGAGTACTGTATGTGCTTCCCATCCAGCACACAGCGGCTGTCCCCAATTCAAGGAGTGTCGCGCGCTGCTTCGCGAACGATTTCAGCTTCCATCCAAAAGAACGGCAGGATCCGTTTGTTGCCACAAACCAGCCAGCCGTCCCCAGCATCTTCTGTGCTAACCTGAAATGGATCCCGTTCTAGTTATTTTCAACACATGCTGGTCTGTTTCAGACAGCTCTGGGCATTCACATGACATCATGGACTTTGCCAGTTGTGCAGGGTGTTCCTTGCTGTGAGAGTCCTGGAGAGCACACTACGGTATCTAGTGAAGTACTAGCATGACCGTAGCAAAAGAAATGAGGATGTTTGAAACAGGCGTGGAGAGCGAATTCAGCCTCTGCACGTTTGCAGTGCGCCAGCGGCTTCAAGGCCCGACGGCTGCACGCATGTGACCGCGGGAGCATGACCAAGTTCAAGGAGCATCCCAGCATGGTTGCAGGCAGGTGGTGCTCCCGAGGTTTGTACAGATTGTGCAGTGTTAGTGCAGATGAGAATGTCCACTGCCGTAGCTGGCACTTCCGAGACACCGGGCTGCAGCTGGCAGTGCCGCACTGCGCCGCCGTGAGCTGCATTCCGGAGGGGGCACAGCCGTCCGAGATTATTCGAGTGGAGTCTTGCGTCCATGCTCATACTCTTGACAGCTTCATCCTCTTTGCTGCTTGACCGGGCTCGTGTCACGCAGCTCGCAGCTGACATTCTGCAGGAGGGCCACGCTTTAGAGGCCCCAGGCCATGTCTTTCGCTAATCGGTCTCGGCTTTCTGCCGAAGTGGCGGTGTCTTCCCAGAGATGAGCCGAGAGAGGCTGCTCGTGTCCCGTGGATCGCGCCGAGTGCGGATCGACGCGGATCGACGCGGATCGATGATCGCTTGCCTCAAAATCTGCACTCAAAGAGCAAACGTCTCCGCATTGGCACCCGTTGGAGCCTTGGGGCCTTGCACTCTGGCCGAAGGAAGGCTACGATGCCCAGGCCAATCAGCCGAGAGCTCAGATTCACAAGGCTTTCGAAAGGGGATGCCAGATGCTCGGCCTCAGCACTGCAAGGTTCGGATACGTGAATGTCACCGACATGAAGGCTCTGACTCGGTCTCAGCAGACTCTGTACAGCACCGAAGCGTCAGAGGTCATGGGCAAGCTCGCAGAATTCCTTGGCCTAGATGCCGACGTAGTCAGCAAAGAGATGAAGGCCGGAGCCACCACGGAACCAGCAGGTTGGATTTGTCCGGACGCATGACGAGGCACTGGACTTCGATGCCAACAACCTCGTCTCCTTTGCCGAGCTTCCTCGCGGCATATTGGGAGACTTCCATGACTATGAGATGTTTTGCCACTTGTGTAGGATTTTCAGCACTTCTTGTCCGAAGCACAGGTTCGTGCTCTGGGCAGACAAGCACACCATTGGCATCCCGCCGAAAGCTCAAAGACGGCACCAGTCCGAAAAACTTCGGGGGAGCAGTGTGACAGGCTTGGCATTGCCATCCCGGACAAGCGAGAGTGGAGGTGCCGACGGGGCGAGGGACCGGGGCGACGATCCAACTGCGCTTTGAAGCGGCGAGGAAAGGTATGCCAGCCCATTGGACGACGATTCCACCGCCCAGCCCTGAGGAGGAGGCGCGGGCCCGGGCTGCCGAACTCGCCTCTCTCCACACCGAAGCCACCGCATGGCGAGCCCAGGCTGCTCTCAAAGCATCGACGACCGCCGGCGTGGCGGTTGGCAAGGCGAAGAAAGCCAAAGCAAAGAAGGCCAGGCCCTGCCAAAGCGATCAATGTGACGGCTTGAGGCAGCCCTTTTTTTTCAGGTCTGCTCCAGCCCTCCCCCTCACCCTTCACCTCTCCTCCTCTGCTTGTTTTTGTCGGCAAGGGTTGGCTTGGGTTCATGTTTCGACTGCTTGCTCGGTTTAGCTACGTTGCTACCTTGGTGGCGTTTGCTGAGGGTCCCAGGTGCTGTATTCTGTGACGGATCACTGGAACTGCATTGAAGCTGAAAGAGGAACTCGCTGAGCTTCTGCAAAGACTCCGAGTCGGAAGTCATCAACGTTAGGACCGTTAGGTGTTGGGTAGCACACAGAGCTTTCTGGACTCCAAGCCGTGCGTGGCACTTAGAAGCAATCCCCTCTCGCGAAGCTGGCAGGCATCTGTGCCGGAAGATCCGGACACAACAGAGTTGGAGGTGGGCTGTGTTGTCACACGCCGTCAAGCCGCCGAGCTCAACCCCAGTCTTAAACGTCGTCCACCCCGCCTCTGCTGACTGCTCCGTCTGGCATTCACGGTATCTCTGCAGACGAACATTCTTCCCTCAAGTGCTGGAGCCGACTAGCAAGCGGCTCACAGGAATCGTTCGTCATGCGTCTTGGCGCTTCAGACTTCAACCTGCCATGAATCGCTTCAGGACTTCATCGCTGCAGCCAAAGACGCTGAGTGGGAGAAGGTTTGGGAAATTCTGGAGAGACATCCGGGCTATGCCCGGAACTTAGCATGAGGTTCGCGCGCTGAAGGCAAGAGCTGTGGTGCCGACATCTTGTATCCAAAGGTAAATATGCGACCTCCATACCGTCGCTACGCTGCAATCCACCAGGCAGGGCAAGCAAAGTTCGGGCTGGCAGCAGCCGAGAAGCCGTCTGCGGTGTTCAGTCAGTAGTCTGTTCAGGCATGCTTTCACGGAGAAGCTGACGTCGTCCGGAAATTTGTTGAGGATGGAACTATTCTTGCACTTGCCAATCAGTCTTAAGCTGCTGCTAGCAGTAGGCCCAGTAGGCAAAGTCTGCAGGCCTGCAGCATGTCAAGACCGCCTCATGCGACAAAGCAAGTGATGCCGCAGGAGTGGAAAGCAGATCCGCTGCTCAAGACCAAGGTGGGAGTGGTCCTCTTTTTGCGCTAACCGCGCGCAAAGAGTGCAAGCGGTCTGCAGTTCTCATGCCTGGGAGCGAGATTCGCGAGGATTCGGAGACTCCCGAGGATGTCGTGTGTGCCCCAGAGCTTCGATGAATCATTTTGGATTTCGGACGTCTTTCTTCTGAAGCCGGTGAGAACTCTCCCGCCAATGCAGCATGCAAGGCTCGAAGTCGTGAGAGCAGAAAGTGTGCGGGAATTACCCATCACGGTTAGTACTAATTCGCAGAGCAGTCATAGGACTTCAGGTCAGCATCTTCGAAGGACGTAACTAAGAAAGAAAGTCGATATGGAGGGACGCAAGCGTAAATGCTCCGAAGGACAGCCAGAGGAAGCAAAGGATGCCAAGACCAAGACGCGCTTTGCTGGAAAGCGTGTCCTGGTGACGGGTGGAGCGAACGGCATTGGTCGCCAGATTGCCGAGGAATTTTTACGCGAGGGATCGACTGTGATAATCGCAGATCTCGTGCAGCCTGCCGACATAGATAATACGGCGAATCGATATTGCGATTTTATTCGTTGTGACGCGGCTGTGCCGCATGAAATCGAAGAATGCTGCAAGAAGGCCGCGCCCATTGATATTCTGATCAACAACGTTTGTGTGCAGCTTGAGGCCCCATGTCACGAGCACAGTCTTGAGGACTGGAACAAGACCTTGGCTATCGGTCTGACCTCCTATTTTCTTTTCTCCAAGTTCTGCCTACCCCACATGTTGGAGAAAGCCTGTGGTGCGATTGTCAACATCGCTTCCGTACAGGGAAGCCAATCCCAGCCACGCATTCCAGCATATGCTGCGGTCAAAGGGGGTGTCCTTTCGCTCACGAGACAACTGGGGGTCGAGTATGCTTCTAAAGGTGTACGGGTGAACTCGGTCAGTCCCGGAACGATTGCAACGCCACTGGTGAAGGGTATTCTCGAGCGGGCTGGCACTACCCGCGAAGCAGCAGGGCAGGCATACCCGATGCGCAGGATCGGAGAACCGAGCGAGGTTGCCAAAGTCGTTCTTTTCCTCGCGTCTGATGATGCCAGTTTCATAACAGCCCAAAATATTACGGTGGACGGAGGCATCACGAGCCTGGGAGGCTGGGCGAGATTCTCGTAAACCTCTGATGGAATCCAGCACGATCGAAAGAGCCAAAACGAGGCTTCTCCAGAGGGCAGTTTCATTTGTGGCTGCAGCAGCGCTTCCTGCGCAAGCACACAAGTTACTAGCATGACCACCAACTCCTGTTGGCAGTTTACAGTGTACAGCGTTGCAGCTGCGTCGGCAGGAAGCACACAGTCCCTGTCCGACTGTCCGACACACAGCAGCGTCCAACTGAACCCCGTGAATCGGAACTCGGCTTTGCGCTTAAGAAGGCATGAGAAAATTGCAGCGAGGCCCAGGAGAACGGCAACGACGAAGTGGTCACCTATCTCCAGGACTGCAGTGGCTAAAGGGCAAAACCAATCTGGATGCTTCGAGAGCCTTCTTCACGCCCAGGAGAAGCAAAGTGAGGAAGCCGAATCTGCTGAGGACGAGTAAGGGACCAAGCTGGGGCCGGGGTGCTGTGCACAGTTTTTAGAGGACATGGTGTCCTGTCGCTTGACCACATGAAGCTATTTATTCCTGCGGCAACCTTGAAGCCTTGTGCGTTGTTAAGGGAAGACGACGAGCCACCCTTGAAGATGATGCGAGGTGGGGGTTGCGAGCTCGTCTGGGTCTCATTAATGGAGTTTGTAGCCCAGCTTGATGGGATTCCATCCATAGCACAACAATACAATATAACTATAGCATAGCAGTGAGACCCAGGATCCTGAAGCGCTCATGGAGAAAGCAAACGAGGCGAAGGGGTTGAGTGCAGCGAGAGCAAAATGGACTTCGCGATGCCATGGGGGGAGGCGATAGAGCATGCAAAGTGGCAGCAATGGGACGAGATGCTCTCCATCTTCGAGTCCTACCCAGGCCTCTGATGCCGACTTATCATGCGCAGAGTACGCAGTTCTTGTCATGTGCATGTGCACTTCGGGTCCCCGACTCCGGCTCCACATGGCTCCACGCATCTCCACGGGTCAGGCTGTCAGAACATGCGCCCGGAGTATCGAAGGTTTGCCGTCCGCCCCCTAGTCGAGTCGCCGGGGCCGCTTGGGCCGCCTCCGCGCGCCTTCTGTGTCCATTAGCCAGCTGATCGCGCTGCAGCAGAGGCGATCCATCAGGCCGCCTATGCGGGAGACGCCAAGATCTTGAAGAAGATGGTCGACTGCGGTGCCAACCCAGGCGACTGTGGCCTCTGAGCATAATCCTTCTGTAGCAAACGAAAAGCCGCAAAGCCCGGTGCAAAGAGAAACCTTTCAGATGTTTCAGATCTCGCAGTGGCCTTTCTTCACGAAGTTTTTGGCCACCGTAGAGTGGGCTTCAGCCTGTGTCGCGAGGCCTGCTGACCCGAGACAAGGCCAGCCTCGAAGTGAGAGCGTGCGCTGTTGGCTAACTCAGTGGGAGTCAGCACAAGCTGTGGCTTTCGGTCAGGAGACGCCTCTGCAGATCGCCGAGGCTGAGGGCAACACGGAAGCAGCCGCTTTCCTCGAGTCCATGGAGGTCGCCCTGGGCACCGATGCCATGCCTGCTTTTTTTTTTTCTCTCTCTCTCTCTCTCTCTCTGTCTCTGTCAGGTCTCTGCTGAGAGCGCGGCGTTAATCCAGGAGGCGCACAAGGCCCGACCTCGTGTGGGCTTCATGCATGTGTGGGCCTTTCTTCGCCTGAGGTGATTGATGCTGCCAAAGAAGGGAAGTGGGTCCGATCCTGAGGGCGCGAGCATCACACAGCTCATCCTCGGAGTGTCTCGGAGTGCCTCGGAGTCGAAGCGGAGCTCTGTCCAGGACAAAACCTTCGAACTCCTCGAAGCCTGCAAACATCCAGATCAAGTCGTGAACTGCCGGCCATCCGTGCGCCAATACGGCGTACTTCATCAAGCTGCATTCCACGGCGACATCGAGGTGCGAGTGCTTCAGATGGGAAGCTGCATGTATTGCAAGCTTCTTCTATTTGTGAACACCGTAAGCTTCGTAGAAGGATGTGGGCTTTGTCGGATCTTCTCGGCAGGTCCTGAGGAGGCTGCTGGAGGACTTCAAGGCCAACGTGAAGCTCCTCACCAAGGACTGTGACCAGACCTACGACTCATCGTGCACCAACACTTGCGATGCATTTGGACGTTGAGGCTTTTGTCACTTGTTGGCGTTAGGGATGAGAGTAAAGCAGGATGGGCAAAGCGCGCTGCAGATTGCCCAGAACGGCAGCCAGGAGGCAACCGACTAGCCTTAAAGGGGAATCTCTCCCAGGATGTCAGCTACGGCCACATGTGCTAAACGTTTCTATCGTGTCTAGACGCCGAGACGATTCACATCTGCTCATGGTCGAGGCAGCAGCCAAGTATTTGGAGGCCGGAGCCGGAGCATCATGGCGGATTCGGATGAGCACAGATCTGTGGAGAGATTCGGCAAGCTGGAGGCGTGCGTGCCCAGCATCCAGCTCGAGGATGACTTTGTAAAGTATCCGGAGCAGGCATTGTCGACTTCGCAGAGAGAAGCATCGCTTCCTTGTCGTAACGCCGCAGATCCTTTACGCAGCAGCCGCTGTGGCTCGGGGTCGAACTGCCACTGGGAATGGGTTGTTCAGGTCAGTTCAGGTCTTGAGCAAGTCGAGGTGAGATGCGCAGTCAACGGAACACGTTGCGGCCCGACATGTGAGCAGCTCGAAAGTGTAGTGCCGGCATTGCCTTGTTGGACAGGGTCCCCAGCCTGTGACAGTTCCCACCAACAGCCTTTGCTACTCACTTCAAGTGTCAATGCCGTAGAGTGACTCCAGCAGCTGGCGGCACCGCTTTGAGCAAAGCGGTCATGGAAAGGGCAGCTGAGATGCACGTCCAGTTGGTGACACCGGCTGGAACTCTGATCGCCGATGTGGCTCTGCGTCCTGACGACACCCTTCACGATCCTTGGAGCGAGCTTGGTCTGGTGCTGCAAGTTTTTGTGGGAGCCGTCCCGCCGTCCCCGTCTGCTTGAGAAGCCAGGTAGCAGGTACAGATACAAGAAATCTCCGATTCCCGAAGCCAAGGAGCTGTATCGGCTCGGCTGTGCCAACTCGTCCTTTGATTCCACCTGTGTGCTTAGGCACCGGGTGACACGGGGGCCGCGTGCAAAGGGCAGAAAAATGTCTGGTTGTTTGGAGGTTCCAGCTACTGGATGCTCATGCGAATCCCTTGCAACATGATGGCCTGGTGCGAGACAACGTCAAGGATGGTGAGGGGCTGAGCGTTCAGGGGGGCGTGTTTGGGTGTCAGCAAGCTTGCGGATAGAGCGGAGTTGGGATCGGAATGTTGGTTACACTGGCCAGTTGCCAACAGTCCGAGGCGATTCCGTGACTTTCGTTGCCATCGCGCGAGACTGGATGGGGGCTGTCACGACCCCGTGAATTTGTGGTATTTGAGTCTTGTTACAAAGCTTCCTCAAGCGGTTCCCAGGTCAAGAGGGATCCGGCTACCCTGAGATGCGCTCCGCATTTTGCCAGGGCAGATCCTCTGGTAGTTTTGGAGGCACGCATTCGCCCGCCCCGCCCCCCGGAGTGCTGAGATTTTCGCTTCATGCAGGCTGTCAGGAAACGCGGAGCAGTTCTTGCCTATGCCGCACGAGAGCTCCAAGACAAGCGAGACATCGTGTTTGCCGCTGTATCGACGGCCGCTTTGCCTGGTAGCATGTGCAGCCTCGTTTGCTCCATTTGCTCCTGTCCTTTTCAGGCAGCTGTCTCAGAGTTGCAGACCGTCCGTGCTCCCTTCCAGTGGCAAAAGAGATATTACGACTCGTTACCTCGTATTACCATCCTCCTCCTCCTCCTTTCTTCTGCTCCTTGGGTGCACCATCCACAGTCCACAGCACGGGCGGGTGGAGCTTTGAGGACGGCCGTGCCCTGGAGTTTGCCTCGGCGAAGCTGCGAGACGACAAGGCCCGGTCGGATGCAAGCACCTGCACTGCACCTGCGCTGCACCTGCGCCTCTGTCTGTCTGAGCGCCTCTCCGCGCTTGCGAGGAGATCGCTTTGGCGGCGGTGTGCCACCAGGGCCGGGCCTTGCGCTTCGCCTCGGAGCGGCTGCGCTGCGACCGGGCCACCCGTCCCAGAAGCGGCACTTCTCTCTTCCGCCTCTGACCTGGGTTCGGCTACCGAGGAAGTCGTCACCTGCGCCTGTGTCAATGACGGGTGGCTTCGACAAAGAGTGAGATTTCGCGAGGATATTGGATCCTGCTCATAGGGCATTGCTAGGTCAGGGGTTCACCCGAGACTCTTGGCGGCGATGCTGCATGCTGCATCTGCTGAGGAATTCCTTGGAATATGCGATGAACTGGCGCAGGGACAAGGCAATGGTCCTTCTGGCAGTCGAACGGCACCAGGCGGGTGCACCACGGCAGAGTCAATCCCGACATCGGAAGATGCGATCGAGTGCCGGGTTCTGCCATCGGCGCCTCGTTTCATGATCAGGCTCTGGACCGGCAGCCGACGCTCGGCAGATGCTTAGTCACGGCTAGCATTCCGAAGTCAGGGCTGACATGCTGGCATGGGGGCTTGAATGGAAAGGCGCAGTCCCATCCAATTTGCTGCTCCTGAGCTACTGGGGAACTATGACTTCATGCTCCCAGGATGCACAGAAGTGCCAGGGCTCCGAGCTGGACGGATCGAGTTTCTTGTCGAAGTTCGACCCGCCGAAAATTTGGTTTCTTACCAAAAACCGATAAAGATCGTTTGAGAAGAGCCCTCTAGTCAAGGTGGCAAGCGGCACAGCTCGACCGCCGCTGTGTTGACTTTGCTGCTGCTGACATACGTGTGCGCCTCAACTTTGCAGTCCAGTCGCAAGCCAAGGATTCTTCGGTGGCCTAGTGCTAAAGTCCCAAGTCCCTTTGCAATAGCCCATCAGTTGCCGAAGACTGTGGATTAATATGGTTGGTTGTGGGGAATCGGTTGATAGAGCCGAGTTGTTGCCACTGCCCATGGGATGCTGTATGTCTGTATGGGGAGCCAGTGCTGTTGCAGCCAAGGTCCGGTTTTGCGGACCACTTTGGAGGAGTGCCGTGTGGTCTACCCGCAAAGCATGCTTGCCCTCGCGAAATACTTGCCTCGCTTGGAAGTACTGTTTTATACTGAATGTCTGAGCTGTCCTGCAACTTGTATCTTGCAGGAAAGTCTGGTTATGGATCACGGTGTCCTTGAGATGAAGGCCTGGAGCCTACCTGCACTTGCAAGGGACGGTGTGCTTGAAAAGATAGGCGTTCGCGCTTGCTGCAGCGGCAGACAAGCGGCATCAACACGAGGTGCCGCTGACGGAGTTGAAGTTCCGGTCGGAGCGCAGCACGGCGCCAGGAGCAGAGGACGGCTTGGATGGTTTGATGTGCTTTGCGCTGCCACGCCTTTGTCGGAACACTCGAGGTGGACATCGTTTGACTGTGTGCAGGACTCGGAATCGGAGTCAGACGGGGACGGCAGCGTTTACAGCATCTGAGTGGCCGAACACAGCCGCTTCGTATTCTGAAAGTGGTATGTTGCAATGCTTAGGATGCTTAGGTTGTACAGACAGTTCCTGACATGATCCACCGTGTTGGAATTCAGAGAACCTCACTTGCAGATGATTTGGATACGCCCACGCCACCGCCACCGATTCGGGAACATTCAGATATTCATACAGTTCCACCCAATGCTGTCCACTTGCACCCTTTCGGTGTGTGCGTGCATTTCAGGCACTGAGCTTTTGCGTTTGAAGCACGAAATTGGCTAAGTAGTAGCATCAGCTGCTAGCGGACACAGGTTTCTGCTGCTTTGCTCTTCGAATTTGGCATGGACGCACTCCCCAACGTTGGAGTGAGACCATGCAGTTGCAAGTTCCTCTCGTGAGCTGCTCCAATTACGAACCTGTTCCGAAAGCTCGTTCGTGAGCATTTGGAGAGCACCTGCGGAGGTTCTCTGTCACTGAGAAGCTTCAGTCCTGTTGAGAGGCCTTCGTGAAAGTTGAAGACAAGACTCTGCTGAAGAGGACAGCCGGGATTTAGCGTGCGCGGGCCTTAGCCTGATTCTATCTGTGTGCCAGGTTCCAGACCCTTCTCGACAAATCGCAGCTTCCCCGGCAAGCATGACCCGTGTGTGGACTGCAGCAGTGGCATCTGTGGCATCACGCTTGCTGCAGGCACAAGAGCTCTTGCAATTTCACGCGGGACAGAAACTGGGCCAGCGGTATCTTGGCACACTCCTGCAAAGTACAATAGATTTCGACAAGTGTCGTTCCAACATGTCCCAACTCGTGGCATCCGTGGGTCGTTGCGATGTCCCCGTGACCTTGAGAACTTGAGGTGTGTTCGAGAACTGCACGCCAGTGCCGACCGGATACGAGCTGGCCGCTTGACTGAATGGACACTTGCCGTCGTCTGAGCTCGTTTTGTCCCAGGTAGGTGCTGTTCGCAACGAGAATGCGGCACTTTGGCGCATCTACCAGGCCGCCTGTGCAAGCCTTCCGCATGCTTTGCCTCATGCAAAGCCTGTTCAGCATAAGAGTAAGAGGCTGCTGCTTCAAGTAGCTGATTTGAAGAGCATACGCGTGCATCTGTGCAGCAAGGCCTCACGTAATACGGCTTGTAACGTGAAGGCAATCGGTTGGGGAGTATGTTGAGAGCTGAAGCGGGCTGCGCCAGTAGGTAATGCGGAGTGCGGAATGACGCGGGACGTAGAGTCCTTTCGCAGACGCCTCTGCAGGTCTCGAAGGAGGTTACGCGGTTGGACTGCGCGAAGCCTCTGAAGGAGCGGCGGCGGCGGAGACATGTCAAAGCGGGCGGGCGCATTAAGGGGCACGATTGAAGGGCGGGGCGCGACCTGCGAGGAAGCGCCCTTCAAGAAGTGGACGCCTTTGACGATGGAGGCTCGCCCGAACACCGCTTTCAAGATGGAGTCTGAGGTTCTGTTTACTTCTGCCTTCTGCCTATATGAGTTTTCAATGTAGGATCATGTCGCTCTGGCTGCGACGGCAGCTGTGCGATGCAGTGCTTTTGCCGACTCCCGTCAGGCTGGCAAGGGCTTTGACTGGAGCGATTTTGACATCTGCGAAGATGCGAACGAATGGTCCGGCGCTTTGGGGGCTTCTGATTGCTGGAAATCGCAGTCGACTGCTTGCAAGCGGCTGTGCCAGCTGTCATGGCAAGGATTCTCTTCCATGCTTCCATTCCAGAGGCCACCTGACTGTACTGTGTTCTTCGTTCGCCATCGCAGTTTGTCCGGAACTGTGAGTCGCCGGCTGGAATCATGACAGATGGCCGGTAAGCTAGTCGGAAATTCTGGGTCATTGTCATTCTGTACTCTGTCACTATAGCGTGCCTCGCGTGTGATGACTGGCACTGGGCATCACTGCGCCCCCGGCCTTTTCCCAGGATCCGCCTTTCGAGTGACTCCTTAGCCTGCGTTCCAGGAAACTCAGCCTTTGCAAGCAATCCTACGCATGTCCCCTGTTGACCGAATTCCTGGGTTTAGTTCATTTTTTCTGCCTTGCACCCCGGCCCCTGCGTTTCGGACATCCCTGCCGATGCGGCAAGAGCAATTCTTGTGCGCTGCGAGGCGCTCTCTGCCATTTGCCGCAGCTCGGCCGCGTTCGCTACTCGCACAGGAGCTGCGTTGATGCAGTCCTGCGACTTGGGACATGCTGCAATGCTGCACTTGCGAGAGGAAGAGTTTCGTCAGAAGTGGCGCTCGACTGCTGTCCCGAGGCACCGGCTTCACCATGGCCAAACTTGGCTCCGGCGGCACCACGGGCGGCGGCGGCCTGTACGGTGATGGCGGCCCGGTTGCAGAAGCAAGGCGACCTGTAACTCAGCGAATCCACTCTGCTGCAGCATGATGGTGCTTGACGAAACGCGTGTGCGGGGCTTCCAGAGGCACGTACTTCGCCGACTCGATCACGAAAGCTGATGAGTATGCTCGGCGCAAGGCAGTGGGCAGTATGGTTAGCATGTCTCTGCACCCACCAGCTCTTGCATCAAGTCCAAGTCTCTCAATCTGAACTACAAAGGGCAAGCCTACCTCCGCGCATGTGACAGGTGGAGAAGGGTGAATTCGCTGGATGTCGAGTTGCAGCGATCTGCCGGGCACGCAATCATGCTGGCAGCTAATCGAAACGGGCAGATGTCTCGTGATGGGTAGAGCTGGGAATGTAGCCGGAACGAGACGGCATCACGAGCTTGTCGGTGCTTCTGCCGCGAGCAGACAGGTACTGGGTGGTCGGCATTTCTACATGGACAAGGCAGCCGATCTGCTCTGTCCTAGCTACTCGTACCTTGCAGCGGCGTGCAGTGCAGACATGTCGAGCTGTTGAGGATGTCATGGAGAAGGACAAGCCCAAGTTTGCCAAGAGAGTGGCATCCCCGGTAGACATAGGAACAGAATAATCCAGAAGGTTCAAGCACCTGTGCCGCTGAGCTAGGTGCTCGAAGGACATTACAACAGCACCGTGGGAGACCGCCTGAAGGTGAAGAACACTTTTAGGCCAGGCAGATGAAATCCCTGCGCATCCCATCTCCGTTTTGCTCCAGCCGTATCAAGGGAGTACGTGGCCTACGATGCAGCAGCAACGTACATGGAGACTGGGCTGAGAGCAAAGCGACGCTTGTAGAGACGGTCCCTCGGTTCAGTCAGCCAGACGCGGCCTGCAGCCCGAGGAGTATCTCATCTACTACCGGCGCAAAGGCCCGCCTACTCTTCATGCAAGTGTTGTGAATAGTTTGGCTGACATCAGGTGTGCCGGCAAAGCACGAGTGATAGCAGATGGAGAAGCCTTGATGCTCACGGCGACGCGGTGCAGTGCTGCCATAGCAAGAGTTTTAGTTCCTTGCCTCTGCCCAGTGCCCTCTGCCCGGTTGAGCCCCCATCCTGATGTGTACAGTCATCTGTGAGATGCGGGTAGCTACTGTAGACACGGAGTGGCTGCGAATGCCATGCCTCTGTGGCGCGCTATCGTTTATCCGAAGCAAATCGGGGCTGCCTGGGATGCGCAAGCATGATTCTGTGTTCTTCAGCGGAGCATAGGATTTGACCAGCCCTGGCGCCAGGAGGAATTGCCAAGTCCTGTACTGCAACGGAAAGAGCAGGAAGCCCAGGAGCCGCATTTAATCAGAACAAAAATCGAATGAGACTGGCCGTAGCGAAGGCTTTCGATCATCAGCGTCCAACACGCTGCCCAGGGTCGCATGTGCTGCACGAATGCATGAACACGCAGAGACGGAAGACAGGCAGGCAAGCAATGTTTGCAAGGCGTTGGCATTGACACTGTAGAGACGTTACGAGGAAAGCAGGTCTACAGTATCTACAATGATAACAGCAGCTGGGCTGCAAACAACAAACTTTATGCTGGTCCATGGTTTCTATTGCATGAACGATTAAACATTGGGAAACTAGTGCCTGGTGCCTGGTGACGCCGTCAACAGCACTCTCACAAGCATTAAGGCGTGTGCCTGATCCGAACGCTCTCTGGCCATACAGTTAGCAGATACCATTTCCATTGTCTAACCATGCACCCTTTACGCCACCTGAAGACCCAAACCATAACAACCTATGCCTCAACCCCAACTCCACCGAAAGACCCATGCTGAGACCCACCGGAAGAACGCATAGTATGAAACCATAGGCAACCTCTTAGAGAAAATAGCATACGTAACCCCATAGCATGTCCCAGCCAAAAACAACCCACAATACCCAATCAACTACTTGTCCACATGGTCGTCTTTCCGCAGTTGCTCGATCTTGAGCCGACTATAGCTGACAGCTGATACTGTAGCTGCAACCGTCTTCTCCCTCTCCGAGGCGCGGCCAACTTGACAGCTGGCAAGGCTCAGCTGGCTTATCTGAGCGTGAGGGACCACGGGCATCAGGTTGGTAGTCGTCAAGTTAGGTTGGGTTTCTCGTAAACGAACTGTAGCTGCAAGTACTGGAACCTGCTTGGGTTCACAGGCAGCAGTTTGCCTGCGTGTGTTTGACTGGCGGAGTGTCTTTCGAAATTTCAACTTCAGCAGTAGCTGTACGGCTGGGCCACCTGCTTTCGTGGTCTGTGTGAGGTCTATGCAAGCGGAGTTCACCACTTCTGCCGGTACGACCGAACATTCAAGGAGGCTGGCTTTTTGCATTGGGGTCTCATGCTGATGGGAGTCCTGGAGCGAAAGTGAAACGCAGCGGGATCCCCATCACCGTTTCTGGTAGCCGTCCATGCAGCCTGGATTTCCCAGTGCGCAAGGCAGACCCAAAGTTTGGTTTGCACGACGACGTCGGGCGCCGAAGTGTGGTACGGTAGTGGGTGCGAAGACGGATGTGAGCTTACTCTACGGACATCATGTTACGTCCTTTCGCTGCAGGATGCTGGCTGCTCTCACCCGGACTGCTGTGTCCAGGCCCAGTTCAGGGCCCGGTGCGTTCAAGGAAGCATTAAGTCAATAAGCAAACATCTTTGTAGGCAAGGACTAGCCATGAAACTGAGCTCGTCACTCTATGTCCTTTCAAAACGCAGTAGGCGAGCCTGCGCTTGCCATGGTCCTCACATGCCTTCACATGCCGGAGGAACGAAGCGCTTTCGTTCTGCACTTTGACAGCCCCAGCTTCACGGAATGGCCAGGGGCCCGTCTTGGACTGCCAGCCGGCCGTTTCAAGACGGAGAATCCCAGGCGGGACAAGTTCGCCCTGCGTGCAAAAGCCTCAATGACGGAATTGGACGAAGAGGACATCATCACCGTTCAAAGTCGCTTTCATTTCGCAACCATGCTGTGCACGTCTCCCTCACTTCTTGTGTGCAACAGAGGAGATGCAGCTCTTCCCTTTCAAGAAGGCATTCAGTAGTTGTACTGTGATTTTGCATCCATCCGTTCATCATCCAGAGTGGGGATAGGTTTCTGTCCGGTCCTTGGTGCTTCCGATGCCAGGCCTCAGTCCAGGCTTTCGCAAAGGCTGAGAAGGCTTCAACAACAGCCAGGGCTCGTTGAGATGACGTAGGGTCTATAGGATTTAGCGATAGCTCTGATGACCAGTTTGCAGGCGGCAAAGCAGAAGCAAATCTACCGCCACTGGCGATGTCTGCCTGGACGCAAGGCTCGCTCGACGAGTGTGCAAAGCCTGTGGCTTCATGTAGCCTTGCGACGGTACAGAATGTCGTTCTTCGCATGCAAGATGGCTGCAAGGAGGAGGAATTTCATCCCAGGCCGCCTGCAGCCACTGGCATGTTGCAGCATGCGGCCACGTGCAGTAGCACCTCAGGGCTGATCAATGCTCAGTGAGCAAACATGCTTCCTGGGTCTGCTGATGCTCCAGAGTCTTCAGAGTTCAGAGCTTGGTGTGAAACGATGGGAGGATCACCGGCGCAAGCCTCGAGGAGGAGTTCCAGCGCCTGCTTTTCCAGGTGCCGTGGGTCCTGCGTTTGCGTTTATACACGGGGCGTTCATTGAAAACTTGGGCCAGGTGCGTGGGGGCCACTCTTTGTGAGCACGGACCAGAGCAGCATCGAGCAAGACAAGACCCGCAAAGTCGCAAGGGTCGAAGCGAGACTACATTCTTGAGATGCAAGCAGCGAGCCTTTGCGATTCTGTGCGGGCTCACGTCACACGGCATATTCCACAACACAGGCGAGTAGCCCCTACATATCTTGCCGCATGTGGCCATAAGAGTGATAGGAGGGAGGGAGGTTTATATCGAGAAAAGATTGATTGCCACATCAGCCCCACCAGATTGGTCACATACCTGCAAGAGCTTACATAGAGTATGCAGAGCTGCTCACTACTTGTCAGTCCAAAGCTCTACAGATATCTACACACATTTGCGCACCGGTGCACCAAGCTTGTGGCAGGCTTAGCTGAGGCTTTCAGGCGGAGAAAATAAGAGCGGCGTTCGGTGCTTCCAAGCCCAGCCCTGCCATGGACGACCGGCTCAGCAGCCGTCAGGCGTGCGACAAGCATCGGAGCAGATTTTTTCTTCGTGGGCAGCGGCATGTCCCTGTACATTCAGGGGGCTCGACGGTATTCCCTCCATGGGGCACAGACCTCAGTGAAGCCCTGCGGCTATTGCAGTCTGAAGGATGCCCTTGGAAGCTGTCCGACAAAGGGAACCATGGAGCGGAAGTGCCCCATGCGTCAGGGGGTTTCCCTGGGCAGGTGTGGTCTTTGCACTCCAAGAGCTCATCACTACAAGTCCTCTGCCGTCTCTCCGACTGCGCAAGCCGTCGGGAAGAAGGCGCAGAAGGGTGGTTTGGATAGAACGGAGACGGAGCACTGAAGCTGCCGAGCTGATTCGCATTCCCGGATGCGATACTGAGAGCTACTGCCACAGGCCTCCCTCGCAGATGCAGCACCGTCGCAGCAGGACGCGCGCATGCATCTTTCTGTCAGCTCTCCCCCCACGTGGACGGTCAAAAGTGATGCAAGCGCCGAGTGGGTTTGACAGCCTTGGAAACCGATGGTTGGCGGTGCAGGATGCCCAGCATGCCCTGCCCAGCACTCGGTCACGGCCAGAATCCTGGCGCGCGCGATGCGAAGAGGTGCAACGGGGCCTGGTTTGACTTCGATTCTTGCGCAAGGCGTTCTGCATTCACTCGAGTGCGCAGCCCTGCTGAGAGGCCAAGCCAGAAGCTCCTGCAGACAGGCCGTCGGACAACTGCGCCTCTCGCGGTCCTTCGCTTGCGTAGTCGGAGCCAGGTCCGAAGGCCCGCGTGCCGCTGCCGAAGCCGAAGCCTTCGGGTCCGAGGCGCAATCCTTCGGCTGGACGCTGTGCCGTGCCATGCCTTTGCTCACGAGAGGCGCCGGCTTTACCCGGGGTTCTGGTGTCGATGACCCAGACGTAATTCCGAAGCACGGAGGCTAGGCCGAGTCAGTGGCCGGTCTCGCCAAGGCAGCCGGCGGCGGAGGTTGCTGTCGCGAAGATGCCAAGCGAGGCCCAGGCGAGGCCAAGGGTCCAATTCGGGGAGGTGAGGTAAAGAAGTTCTTTCTTCCAGTGGCCTGTTGTCCTACGCAGGAAGATCAGGAAGGCGCTCTCGTTCTCGAGGGCCCATCCACTGCAAAGCGGCACGAGGCGAATATCGCATTGCCGGTAAGGAAGATGCAAATCATGCCATGGACCTGGCTAAGCTCCCTCGCAACATGCGAGATATCCCAATCACGAAAGCTGTTCTTCAGTGCTAGCGGAGTTTCTTATCAACCGAACGGGAAAAGGCCCCCCAAAATCTGGTCAAACGGTGCCGGTTTCCCGAGCTAGACTGCACCTGGAGCTGCATTTTCCCGACATCCCCTCCTTTTTCGGACATGAACAGGGAGTGTTTCGGCTTGCCCTGGAATGGAGAAACGAGCCGCCAACGATGCTCATGATGCTCGCCTCCCGATGCGCATGATTCTTTTTGAGTGGCTTGTTTGGCTCGTACCATGTTCGGTGCTGTGACTGTTCCAATCTCCTGCGTTGTAACAAGCATGATTGTCTTTCAGTGTCTTCTTTAGCGCCTACGCTCAAGCTTTTCCGCCCAGCCAACCAAAACTCCGGCCCGCGGCTAAAAAGTCCGCTTGCCTGCCTCGGCTCGTCCACTGCTGCTCTGCCCGAGCTTTCTTCCCAGTCCCTCCACAAGTCACAGAAGAGAGAGTCAGCTCGGGCGGCTGCCTGGAGGCAACTAGGCCTCGGCCGGAGGAGGAGCCGGAGGCGAAGGAGGCGCTCACAGCCCGGGCTTAGGGAGGCGAGTGCCAACAGCAGCTTTCAGGAAGAGGGCCTGGACTGGGAGATGGAGGCCGCCAATACAGCAGCCATGCCGCGCGCGGTGCTCGGCTCTGATCTGGGCCTCCAGGCGACGCTGCCGGCGCTTGCTGCCCAGCTCCGGCGCGGGGAGGCTCCGAAATCCCCAGAAGTTCCGAAGATTCCTGAAGAGGCTGCGGTATCCCGAATCTCCAGCATAGTCGTCTATCATAGTCGTCATCCTTCTTCTCCTTCAGGCCCAGCTGGGCATGGCGGACACGACTTTGGAAGTCATTTTCCATCTCTCTCTCTCTCTCTTCCCTCTCTTGCTTTCTTGGTTCTTACTATTTGCATCTATTTGCTTGTGTCTCACTCTTTCTCTCGCTCCCTCTCTCGCTCTCTCTCTCTTCCCACCTTCTCTTTATCTCTCGCTCTCCCTGTCACTTGTCACATACTACTATCGAGCATCTGACGCAGGCCCTGCTGCAAGTCGTACATCTTACACTTTAACACTGCTGGCTGTGCGCTGTTCCTGGACAGAGAGACAGAGAGAGAGAGAGAGAGAGAGAGAGAGAGCCATTTTGGCTCAAGTCGTCTGCCGTGGCTCTCCTCTTTGGGGGGCTGCTCAGCAACGGCCCT